AAGATAAAGAACAAAAACTCAACTGGAATGGAAAAACAGAATATATAGATACATTACTTTAGTTGCTAGTTCAGAAAATTAGCATAATACAAAAGAGTAATATTTTTATAAATAAAATAAAAAATATCTGCATCAAGAAATAGACATTTATCCTGCAGTAATATTTCGAATTTATTCCATAGGAATCTTATTTATAGAAGGGCAAAAACTCAACTGGCATGGAAAAAGCAGAATTTAGAGATAATACTGTCAAAAAACGTGATCTTATCTTCAATAAAAACAGATTTGTACACAAGTTCAAAGAACTGCACGACACCAAAAAAAAGCAGACGACAAAATAAGAAACCGGTAAGATGACAACCATCTTCCCAACTCTTGAACGGTGGTGCATTATTTATGACCACCGTGTAATTAAATCACGAATTAAAGAGAAACCCATAATTTTATTTTATTTTTTTGTCAAGACGAGAACTAACTATTATTTAACTGTCGTTTATAGTATACATTATTCGGACCTAGAAGAGAGTGGGAAAAAAAGAAAACAATTGAAATGAAATAGAACCTGCATTTATAGTTCGATTTTTTATTGTTACTTTAAAGATAGTTGATTATCTTTATGCAGGTCAAAACACTATTGGCCTTAGGTTCAACTCCAGGATTTTATATTCTAACGACGATTATAACCCTTAGGCATGTGCATGGTTTCACAGACACTGTCTAACACTGCAGGCGTATATTGCTCCAAAAAAAAAAAAGTTTGGTTTTAAAGAGATTGTTTTTCCTTGTAAGTTTTGAACTCAGATGCACTTTTTTTTATTTTAATAATGACAGAAGAAGCCTAGTAGCTCAGAGAGTACTCAACTCCCAATGAGGTAACCGGGTTCAAATCACAGCGATGGGTGATCGTTACGTATTTCGCACTCGGCCCACATCGACCACAGTGCTAGCGTAAAATATCCTCAGTGGTAGACGGATCATGGGTTAGAGTACCATTGCCATCAAGCTAACTATGGGAGGTTTTCCTCTCCGTATGTAGATGCATATCAGGGGTCTGTTTGGAAGAAATTTGGAACCGTTAATAGACCCTTCACAAAATATCTTTTCATAAAAACGGATCCTTCACAAAATAATTTATCTTTTAATCGGACCCTTCACAAATTTGTTTATATTCATCATTGTTTTGTTAATCGAATAAACCCTGCCCAAGAAGAGGGGGGGGGAGAAAGACATATAAACGAACTAAATTTTGTCTTCCGCAGACGCTTCTTTCTTTATTCGTCCGAAATTAATATTCTGCGTTATGCAGTATAGGCTAAATACCAAATATTTGTATGTTGCATCTCTAATTTAGTAGCAACAATTGTNGACGCTTCTTCCTTTATTCGTCCGAAATGAATATTCTGCATTCAGCAGTATAGGCTAAATACCAAATATTTGTATGTTGCATCGCTAATTTAGTAGCTGCAATTGCTGTTTATTTTTTAAAATTTAATTTTCTTTAAATTATAATTTTACAGTGTTGAGCATAATCTTGTATGTCTTTACAATTTAAAAACTCCTTCAAAAAGTTTTTTTGCAATAACGGACCCTATTAGCACAAATTCCCCAAAGCGGACCCTGGTTGAAAGAATGTGACTGCGACTTAACGTTTATTTTATATTCACAAATTACGAGTAATTTTTTCACAATTTTACAGAAACGGACCTTTCACAAAATGTCTGGACAGACCCCTGCATATGGCTTCCGTGGTTTTCCTCTCCATATGAATGTATATAGATGCAAGGGTCTGTGCAGGCCAAATTTACTACCGTTTATCGGTACCTGCACAAATTCAACTTTAGTAAAAATGGTAGTTTCACAAAATGTTTTTTCTTAAAATTTTATTTTTGTATCCCGTAAGAAACGATAAATCTATATTTTTACCATATTTTTGTGCTGATTTTTTAATGTAATTTTTAATTTTCACAAATTATGTCTACATTTTCACAAAATAGGTACATTTCAGAAAAACCTAGACAGACCCCTGAGATGTATATTGCTTCTGTGGTTTTCCTCTCCATATGAATATATGTCAATGAATATGGTTTCAGTGTTTTTCTTCCCCCACTAATGTGGGTTAGTTCCATCAAAAGTCCCCTACGAAGGCAAATTTTTCTTAATACTTGATCCAGCAGGAGTTCCCTCGTCTCCTGGATTGGGTTCAAAATTACAAGACTTTGGAGTTAAACATAACATCGGTAGTCGTGTCGTAAACTCAAAAATTGGGTCGACTGTTCAACGACGCTTATAATATAAAAATAAAATTATAAAATTGTGTGTCGCGATCACGGGCTATAACTCTATCGCGGCTAAATTTTTTTCACCTACTTTAAGTCAGAAAAAATGAGTTCTCAGGCAAACCTGGAGTGAACCGTTAAGTTTCAAATGACGAAAAATTCTTTTCAAAATATCAAAATGCAAACAAATTACGTAATTTTGACTAATCCTGTCATAATTCAATTTATCTTAATAACTTTAAATAAAAAAATTTTTTTTTTAATTTCATTGCTTACTCGAGGTTTTCCGAGCTCTTTTTTTTTCTTTAAATCACTAAAAAAAAGCGAAACAGAATTTGCCATGAAAAAAATTTGGAATCGAGTTCTTAATCTAAAACTTGCATTAATCCTTTATGTCACAATGCAATAAATCTACACCAAACACGAAAAACGTATTCACAAGAGAATTCTGAAGGATTCAATTATTGCAACATTACTCTTAACGCATAGTTGTCAACTACACGGGCAAATACTGATGTCAATTTTAGAATTGAAATTCAATTTGTTGCCTACTAAGTTGAATATAAAGAAAATATAACTCAAATAGAAATTCTTGAATTTTATGTCACAAAATTGCAAAAATGCAACAATCAAATTTTTTTTAATAAATTTTCAATCTTTTAAAGTCAATTTACCTTTTACGTGCCTTAAATAATGTAATCTAATTATCATTTGCATTTTTTTTTTTCAAATCGGAAGTGCTGAAAAACAAAGGTACAACGGATGTGTAAAAATCTCATTTTTCTCAGAGATTAGCATTATGCAATATTGCTTTTAAACCAGGGATGAATCTTTTTTCTTTCAATAATTTTAAACATAGATTTCCAACGTGGACGCTATCGGGAGTAAGAACTTTTTAAAGAGTGTGTAATAACTTGTCAAATTAATTTTTTTAACTATCAAATACATTCTAAAATTAGTTATCTTAAATTGAAAAACCATCAGATACTGTACTCAGTATAACTAGATATCAGCCATAACAGTTATAAAAATTTATTAGAACAAAGAATTTGATGTTTAATTTTTCTCTCTGGAAAAAAAAAAACTAGCATAAAATAAGTTAAAGCGAAAAAGGTGAAAAAATTCACTTTCTTGTGGTAAGATATATTCATCAAAAAGAACTAACAAACTCTCAATACATGACCTAGCGTGAACATACCGTTTTAAAAAATTGAATGAGAATAAAGTTTAGTTTTTTTATTGTTAAGATCCAGCATGAAATATAAACAACAAAAAAAATAATTCCTACATATTTTCCTTCAAGCAATTAACTAAGAAAAACTATTAAAACAAATATAACGATTTTTTTACGATAATTCTTAGATCAAAATTTTTTTTAAAAAATAATTAAAATATAATAACTTTTTCAAGATGCATGGCAATTGAAAGTAAAGTATACTTTTATTTGTCATCAAAGTTCGATGAAAGGTACCGCTTGATACGATATATTGCCCGTAATTTATTTTAAAATAATTATCATAACACAGGGACATTTTTAGACAAACTATGCGGAATTAAATTTTTCGGTTAAAAAAAAAATTCAGTAAATAAGTAGCTTAAAGGATTAGTTCAAACTGAATTATCCCATTTTCATCTAAATTCTATTAGTGGATGCACCTGTCCCTATTCATTTCACCTAATAGAAAAAAAACTATGTTTAAATTTATTTTTCTTTTTAATGATAAATTTAGTTTGCTGAAAAACTATTAAGTTAGTTCTTCAATAGGATATCCCCCTCACTTTTGACTTCTATATTTATTTTTTTTTATACACAGCAATTGGGGTTTACTTTTTTTAATAAAAATAAACATGATATCTTGCATGTAAAAGTAAAAAGTACATGCCAGAATGAAATTTTTACATGCCCCGATCAGGTCTATGATTTTCAAGCCTTGCTTATAGCATTAATTAAATTATTAATATTTATATCAATCATGCCATCGTAACTTCATACGGTACTCTTAATGCGAAAAAAAAAACAATACACGGAATGCAAAAAATTTTCAAACGCGTCAATAAACTACTAAAATTAAAAAAACAATCATCTCATTTTAATAACTTGCTTAACATTGCAATCTTCATGCGCAATAATAAAAATTTTAAATATTTGTACAAAATCATATTTTTTTATAGCAATGATTAATTAAATCCATTTTAACAACAATAGAAATTCTAGAAAGCTTGTTCGAAACATTTTCATCAAAACTTTCCCACATTGGGATATTAAAAAAAGGAAGAAAAAAACTATATTTAATTTTTTTTTAAATCTGTAAAAAATATTAAACTTTTAATGTATACAAATCAAGTACAACACTCGTTGAAATAAGGCTAGAAAAATATTATCGAAATCCAACGGAATTTGTTTACATAATAAGCTGCTTGACATGTAAACAAAGAAATCTAACATTAAATTTCACTTAATTAAACTAAAAGAAGAAAAAAATAAAAGTACTTTGCTAAGTAAATCCCAATTAAATCTAATTGATTCATATTGCTTAAAATATTTTCACAAAATTAAAAAAGTATTCAAGGAGCTCTATCGCTTTTATTAAAACGACCGCGGACAGGTAGTAAACAAAAAAACACGTGCATGTCGTCCAGAAAGCGTTCGCGACAAAACAAATTTCCAAATAGAACAAAAAACAGAGACAGAAACAAAAAATGAATTATTTTAAAGAAACTTACCAGCTATATCCAAAGCAAACTTTGTTAAAAGATGGGGACAAACACTTTCTAAAGATAAACACAAATCTTGAAAAGCACTGTATCCTTTGCGACTTACGATGGTTATTAATCCTTCGGTCCTGGAACTCGGTGTAGCAGCTTCATCGAGCTGTGCTTTTTCATCTTTCGTTATTACACCATTAGATTCTAATTTTTGTAATAATTTTGAAGCATCTAATTCATTAAAATCATTTTTATGTCGATCAAGCATCCGCGTTACACTTGTCGACCCCGCCATTTTGAACTAGCAAACTTTTGCTGTCACTTTTCAAACTATTTTCGCGCCATCTGGTGAGTTTTATTCATAACTCATTTTAATTGGTTTGTATTTTTTTTTTCTGTTTTGATGTCAATAAAAATTGTATCACTTTTTAAACATCGTAAGAAAATTCTCATTTGCATCTTTTTAAATTTTAATCAGTACGCAGTTAAAACTTGTAAGCTTTTCTAGGCTATTTGTTTCTACGTAAATGAAAAAAAAAGTTTCATTCGGAAAACTTAAATGATACATTTAAAAAAAAAAAAAATTATTATTAACTGAGAAGGTAATAAAATTAGTTTTATTTTGATAGATCCTGCTGTTGGCGAAAATTTAAAGAAGATTATAATCTCATTCACATTAAACTTTTATTTATTTCAGCTAATTCTTTAAACGGATATTAATAACTACTCCTTATTTATTTTAGCTATTGTTTTCGTAAAAATTTGAATCATTTTAAAAATCATTAGGTCATTTTAAAAAAAAAACTTTTCACCGGTTCCAGAAGAAAAAAAATAATCACTAAAATATTTTATCTTAAGAAAATTAAAAGAAACAAATAAAGAAAAAACAAAAATAATCATATATAAGTAAAAGTAAGTATATATAAAAGTTATGAATAGAAATAAAAAAAAATTAACAACTTACTAGTTTTATATAGTTAAAAGTAAAAAATAAATAATTGAAAATACTATTAACGAGACATTTAACATTCTCTTATAAATTTGCTATTTTGGATTTTTCCATTTAATAGTTGCGCTTTTTTTTTTCCCCTTTTTTTTTTCTTCTTTTCTTTTTTTTTTTATGTATTCTTGTTACTTTTAATTGACATTTTGCATTTTCTTTGACATTTCCGGATATCAGAATACGCGTTTTCTAAATTACATCCCTTAATACATATTTTTAAAATCCTCGTTAAACAAAAAAGTATATGCTTTAGAATTCATCAATTAATAATTAAGGTATAACTAACATCTACTGTGCTCATATGATATTTAATTTTAAGAATTTAAATAAATTATGCTTTTTATTATTTTAAATGAATTTATGAAATTTTATTTTTGACCAAATTCATTTATTTTGATTTTAAAGCTAAAATTAATTTATTGAAATTTCTAGTAAAATGTAAAAATATTTTTCTGAAATATATAGGTTTTATGTACGGCAAGTTAATTTCGAAGTTGTGCTAGATCTAGTCCAGTTATGAGTTTGTTTTTGGTGTATCTATGATACCGTGAATGACAGAAATCAAGAGAATGTCGACTTTCACCGTTGAATGTCAACAATCACATAGTCGCTTTCGTGAATATCCAAAATATTTGTTATATCCGATTTGATATTAATTTATACGTTGATAATGTTATATTTATTCGATATATTAATATCTGCTGAGAATAGATTAGGAGCAACGTCAGACCCAATTTTGAGTTTACGACTACCACTGTTCCATTCCATAGCCTTGTAATTTTAAACTCAACCCAGAAGACAAGGGAACGACTGACTCAAGTATTGGGAGAAATTTGCCTTCTTGGAGGACTTTTTGATGGAACTAACCTGCATTTGCGTTACACGGAGAAAAAAACCACGAAACCTCCCAAGTTAACCTGACGGAAGAAAGACGCAAACTCATGATCCGTCTATCACTGGGGATATTTTTACGTCAACACTTTGTTCGGTGCGAGAAGGGTTCTGAATTCGTATCAACCAATGGAGGATCCAGATGGGGGGGGGTCATAAGGGTCATGACCCCCCCCCCAAATTTAAAAAACAATTTTAAAAAATAATTTTTCTAATAGTTTACAAATTAAATAAAATATTTCAAAAATTATTTAAGGGGGCATATACACCTAGGTAGGTCAGAAAAATCATTTTTTTTTCCTTCTAAAAATCTTCTTCTTCCTTCTTCACTGTTTCAAGAATCATAATCCAAAATAATTACGAAATTCGTCATAGTTCCATTGTAAACATTAATAATGTCGAAGCGCGCTTCAACAGGTTTAACCAAAGATTGCATAAAGGCGAAGATGGGAAACTTGCGAAACTCGTAACTAAAATCTAAAATCTGGCATTATTAAACATTCATCGAGAAATTGATTTAGATGTTGAAAAAATCATTGACAGATTTGCCCAAAGCTTCTAAAAACCCCATGATTTAATTTTTATGATTTAAAGATTTTGAATGCTTGAATTATTTATGTATTGTTCCATTGTTCATTATGAAAAAAATAAGTGAGAAGACTAGCATTAAAAACCCCAGTTTTTTTTCAAAAAAAACATTTAAAAAAAATTTTTCTATAATAAAAAATTTTTGTGGGGGGGGGAGAATCTGACTCTATAACCCCCCCCCCAGGAAAAATTTCTGGATCCGCCCCTGGTATCAACCAGTCATTGCTGGAATTCGAACCCGGAAGGCGAGTGCTCTCTCTATCCCGGCTTTCTTTAAACATTCATCAATAACAGACTAGTTGTATTTTTATTTATTTATTATTTTTTGGATTATTATTGCAAAAAAGGGTGTCGTGTCAATACGGCGGGATTCATTCCTTGTAGGACAATTCGTGGTGCACTTATTTGTCGTTGGACAATTCACTGCGTACAATTCGCTAGTGCGACAGCTCATCGTGGAGAGTGGACGCAATTCATTGTGGGCCCAATTCTTCGCGAATTTATTGCAGTGGCATGTGTATGTGACGTCAGTTTATTTACTCTTTTCGGTTTTGCTGATGTTTTTATTCTTTTGCAGTCTCAAAAATACTTACAGAATATCCCCTTTGACGTCATCGTGAAGCTTTTCTTAAAGTTTTTGTTCGCTCAACATGTCACAGAGCCCCCTAAAAACGCTGAAAAGTAACGGTTAGTTGATACTATAAATTAGAATAGTTGAATTTCTTCAACTTATAATTTAGAGTTTCTATCATATTTTTGCTCTCTTCATTACGATTATATAGAGATAAATAAATAAGGGGATTCCACGCTATCTTCCATGTTTGTAAAAAGTCGATGCATTTTTTTCCCCCTTCAATTATGCGCAGCCAAATAGTATCACTATTCCAAACGGTCTTAGCACCACGGTTCGGCAACGAGCTAAACTACTATTTAGATTTATGAGTTTATTGTTTCATTTTATTACTTGGGTGATAAGCCCCCTTTTTGCAGTCGTTCTGCCGCTTACCACACCAGATGGCTGCTTCGCAATAATTGTTGGTCTTTTTTGGAGGGGTGGGGGGACATAAAACTGTTTTTCTTTGGCATAAAACTTGTCTTTTTTTCAATTGAAATTATAAACTTAAGTATATGTACTAAAAATAATTCCGTTTGTTTACGCTTGTTCCACTCCCACTTTCCATGTCAAAACATTTTCCTGGTAATTCTATTAAGATCTGTTAGTAAACATAAATAATTTTGCTTGTGAATAAATTTTTAAAATTACATTTAAAGTTAAAGGTGCATTGTTCTTACAAAGTAAGTGCACAACTATAATTTAATAATTTTGGTTCAAGAAATAGGCTGATAAATTAAATACTACTTGTGCATGCACTGCATTGAACATGAATCTTTTAACCATTTAAAGAATATTTTTAACTGTAATTTTTAATTCTATATTAACGTAATTTGCACCAAGAAATAATAGATGTAAAACGGTTAGTAAATTTAGACGCCGTTTTAAATAAATTTATCTTTTAAAAAAATCTCTTTTAGTTTTAAATTCGTTATTTAGAAAACAATCGAAATCAAAAACGTAAAAATAGCTGTGTATAATGAAAAAAAATATTAAAAAAAATAAAACGTCTTTAAATTAGGGATACAGAAATATTTGATAAGAAAATTATACCTTTATCAGATCCCGCGCTAAAGATTTCAAATTATATAGTATTCGCTAATTTTCGAAAGTCTTCGCCAAATGCAAATCTTAAAAAAAATTTTACCATTGAAAACTATTTTATGGCTGATTGTTTCAGGCTTACATTATTTGTACCCAATTCTAATTATTTATGCTTTCCATCTACCAAAAATTACTGTGATCGAATTAAAAATTCTGATAGAAAAAATCATTTTGACGCAATTTTGAGGATCCAGTTAAATATTTATTTCTCCTTTCAGTGGAAAAATCATTCGCCAAAACACAATTATATTCGCCAAATTTACGATTTTATCGCATTTGGCGAGGTGGCGAATGCTTAGCGCGGGCTCTGCTTTATGATTTACAATAATTTTATTTTTGATGACAAGGCCGGCCAGCCAGGTGGCCTAGTGGTTAGCGTGCCTGACTGCGAAGCCAATGGCTGCGGGTTCGANCAGAAATATTTGATAAGAAAATTATACCTTTATCAGATCCTGCGCTAAGGATTTCAAATTATATAGTATTCGCTAATTTTCGAAAGTCTTCGCCAAATGCAAATCTTAAAAAAAATTTTACCATTGAAAACTATTTTATGGCTGATTGTTTCAGGCTTACATTATTTGTACCCAATTCTAATTATTTATGCTTTCCATCTACCAAAAATTACTGTGATCGAATTAAAAATTCTGATAGAAAAAATCATTTTGACGCAATTTTGAGGATCCAGTTAAATATTTATTCCTCCTTTCAGTGGAAAAATCATTCGCCAAAACACAATTATTTTCGCCAAATTTACGATTTTATCGCATTTGGGGAGGTAGCGAATGCTTAGCGCGGGCTCTGCTTTATGATTTGCAATAATTTTATTTTTGATGACAAGGCCGGCCAGCCAGGTGGCCTAGTGGTTAGCGTGCCTGACTGCGAAGCCAATGGCTGCGGGTTCGAATCCCGCTCTGGGCATGGATATTTCTCTCTATGTGTTGTGCGTGATGTGTGAATGTGGCCCGCCATACAAACGGTTATCTGTGGCAGTGTAGCGTGGGTAATGTTGCTCTCCTCCATGACATAGGTTCACAGGTGCCCACTGGGTAACATTAAATGAGTAACACTACCGGCATCTTCCGAGGTGAGGAACTAACAGTTCAGAACCTGCAATAAGAAAAAAAATAATAATTTTGATGACAATCAAATATGTAAGGAAATTAAAGCTGAGAAAATTGGATCCTACCAGGTGATTTTCCGGCTAATACAATTGCACAAACAACAATAGAAAACTGTTTTAGACTATTTTGTTGTTATGTTATACAGAAATTTATACCTCGTATTTAAAACGATTCAAAATCAACAATTTTATTAAGTAACAAAAATAATAAATAAAAGATTTGGAGCAGATTATGAAATTTCATGTCTGTATATAAAAACATACTGTAAGAAATTTTTTTTAAAAGCTAACATTAATTCACACAATCCTATCTTCATTCAATAATTTTTACTAGAAAGAAACGGAAACATAATTTTAAAACTAATCACATTTAACGAAGTATTTTATTTCTTTTATGCTATAAATATAATTATAGTTCATAAGATAATATGTCCCCAAATATGTCTAAAGGGGCCGTTCAAAAAGTACTTACATCCGAAAGGGGGGGGAAAGGGGTTTGCTATTTTGTACGGTTTTGTACGAAGGGGAGGGGGCGGTATTATACAAAGTACGTACATTATAAGCATACACCAAATTTTTGACTTTTTCCTACACACTCCTTAAATAAATATTTAATTTTATTTAAAACACAATTATTTTAATTTTTATGAAAAAGGGGGTAGACTAATAAAATGTACGTACTCTAAACGGGGGGAATAAGACCTTAGGTACGGTAATGTACGAAGGGGGGGAGGGGTTAAAATTTCTCCATTTTTGTGTACGTACTTTTTGAACGGCCCCTGAGACACAAAATTATAACCGTAGAATAAGAATATCCCATTTAAATCTCAACTTGAAATGCAACGTTGTGGCGACTAAAGTTGACAACGTTGTGGCGACTCGTCAGGATCGACCCGTCGAGTCACTTCATTTCATATTCGCCAAGAGTTTTAGATTTTACAACTTCTTATACCGTCGCGAGGGATACCGTCCTGCTGACCAATTTGCGACTTTTATTAAAAGAGGTTCAAATACTGTGGATGGAAACAGACCGCTATATGTAATTGGACCCTCTCCCCGTATGCCTTATACAGAAAGGTATTGTAAGCCGGATGTATGGAATGTTTAGCAAATGCAATTTTTCAGAAATGGTATATAAGTTGGATAGGATATATGTTGCAGAGTTCAAACTATCATCCACTACAATTGGGTGAGGATGGGCAAGGAGTTGATTGAAACAATTTATATATAATTCAACAAAATCAATCTGTGGACACTTTTTACATTGCAATGCATGGTTACAAGAGACTAAGACATGCTCGTATTGTAGAGAAATTCTGATTTGAGTTGGAAAAAATTGCTCAGTTTTTGCTCATTTTATTAACTTGTGCTTTTTATTGACGATCGCAGCTCTCGAATATGGGGAGAGACCGGTTTCATGCCTTTAGCCCTTCTCCGTTCCCTCTCCTCCTCTTTTCATTTGTATAGGAATGTACTACGCTATTTTCCCTTTTCTTAATATTTTTCCTTTTTATTTAATAAAAATATTTTTCAAAACTTCCGTGATACTTTTCTTTAGAGCTATGTTTAATGTAGTTTTCAGTTCCATATAGTTTTTCAAGTTAAAAGATTTTAATCTATATGAAAATCAAGAGAGAAACTAATGTACTTCCTTCCTCTATGACTTTCCACACGCTTATGGTGAAAGCATGTGAAGTGTTGCCATGTTCTGCTCTACGCCACCTGCAGCCCATTTCGATCACCAGATTAGCGATCGAAATGGCTAAATTAGCTTCATCTCCCTCAGAATCGTTGAGGGCAATTAGGATCATTTACCTCTTTGAGTGAGACGACCGGTCTGTGTAGGGGTTAGGGAACTGCCCTTGCATCAGAAAGGTACTGGGCTCAAATCCCGGGTAAGGCATGAATGTTCTTTCCTTCTCTGTTGTACTGTCTGTCCTTACTGTGGGAGCAACGCTGGCCCACCTAATATGGTGCCCCTGAAAGAGTGGCCAACAAATCTCCTTCAGATACCTGTATGACCTAGGTCATTCTCCAGGTGGGCACTGGAAGAAAAAAACCTCTTTGAGTGACACACGAACTTCTTATGGTGGGTTATTCAATTTAAGCCAGTCAATTTTGGGAAGGTCAATTTCAGTTTTGTGAAAATTTTTACAAGAGGCCCAATGCTCAACTATTAAATCGAGGGACTCTACTACAATATTGTCCCCTTTCTTATTGAATTGTAAAAACTATTTTTTTAAATTTCCACAACGCTTCCTTTTAGAACTTTGTTAAATGCAGTTTTCAGTTCCATATAAGCCTAACTTAAAAGTTTCTTAATCTATTTAAAAATAGAGATAGAAACTAACGAAGCTAATGGTGAAAGCACGCGAAGTGTCATAGGTAAAGAGTTCTGCTCTACTTCACCTTTAGTCCATTTCGATCGCCAAATTAAACATTCGGAATTAAACTTAAATTTCAACAAGAAACTAAAGAGTCATATAAATTTATAAGAAAATAGAATTTATAAAAAGATATGGAAAACAATTTAATTGCTTAGGTGTAAACTATGTCATATAGTTGAATTACACTATCGAAATCTGAAAGCTTTATTCAAGAAGTAACAATAAGCAGACGAGAACGTACTAAACAAATATTGAGGTTTAATTTCAATGGCGGTAATTTCTATGGATAATCAAGGGATATCAACTTTGGTAATATTATGTAATTTTATTACTTTTTCATGCTTGATTGCTTAAAATATATTCTAACCCCTTTTCTGTTTTCAGTTGTGCTGATTTTATATCCTTTTATTCTTCACTTCACATATTATACCACATTTTAATAGCCAGTGTGTTTATTTATTTATTTTTTAGGTTATTCCTGATAGCGGTCTTTGTCAGGGTTTACATGCTCAATTTTCATCTAGAAACAGTTTTTTAGTGTATGGCACGGGTAAAATAGCAGGTAAAATTATGTTTATTATGTAATTTAATAATAACAGCAATATCATTAACACATGTTTATCGTTAAACCGTCTTTCTCATTTATTCATATCTTCAAGGATATTCTGATTGACCTCTATTAATTTTATTTTGCATATGCATCGTTCTTTTTCGCTGCCAAAGTTTACTAAGTTGTATTATATAATACCCCAACTTAAACAAAATGAAAAACTTTCTGCAAGCAATTTATTTACTCTTATAAATAGTTTCAACCCTTTCGCCATTTAATGCAAACAAAATTCGTTTGAAAATCACAGATTTCTTTTTCAATGTTTTAATTTTTATCAAACTCTATATTTATTTTTACATATGCCAGCTTATATTTCTTTAAATTTTGCTGTTTTTTAAAGATTTAAAACTAGTTATTTGTTTACCAAATTTTCTATTGTATCCAAATTCTATAAAGTTGACTGCAGGTTTCTATTTCTATTCTTTTTTTCATTTTTTTGAAATAATGATTTGTTTAAAAAAAGTTTCGTCGATGGTGACAAATTTTACTAATTACTAGTTACTACTTGACCATAGTATGGCATAACACCATATTATGGATATGCCGCTCAGGACAGATAGTAATATGGGTACTTATCCAGTTATAGAACCATGTGTTTGTGACTGTTTTTCTGAGTCGTCAGTACAGACAATTGGTTCTTATAACAAATTTTATAATAAATTTTAATATCTCATTGTATTATCAAATATATCAACATTTAGTATAAATCATAATATTTTTCCACTTTTGCTAATTTTTGTTAGTTTTACATTGGTCAAGATTTTCTTTACATAAATGAAAATCATCAAGACTCACAATAATATTGTATAAAAGGTAAATAATATGACTACTCATAACTTTATAAACTTATGATAAATTGATGTTTGTTTTCCATCTTTTATCTCTTGATTTTTGTAGTTGTTATGTAACTCTAACTTTTATTGAGAATGATTGTTCAATAAATTTTTCTATGCATTTAAAATTCAAACATCAGGTTTTTTTTTTTCTAGTTAGTTGTTTCCTGATTACATTTTACTTCATCTAAGAATTTTTTTTTTTTAAAAACTAGCAATTCCCAGCGATATAAGTTCCCTATTTCTGTATTGAAGCTAAAAATGAATGAAAATCTCTTCCGTTTTGCTATTTTTTATGTAATATTGTTTATCTATATAGCCTAAATTTTTTTTTCAGAAAAAAAAAAATTAACAACTGGTAACTGGCTGGTAATTTTCAGCTTAATGTTCAGATTTTTTTCCTTTCTTATTTTTCAGATGTCAATGCAACTCAATATCTTCATGAAGTTACTCCCATACCATCTGTATTTAATGATTACGTTCGTAAACTTGTAAACGAAACTCACAGTAAGTATTTGTTCTTGTATAAACTTAAGGTAAAGTTGATCATTCTTTCTGGAGAAAGGACACAATACCCAAAATAACCATTAAAAAATTCCTTAAAATTTATAATATTTGTCCGAACAAAATTCTAAAACAAGTTAAATTACAACATACAGTAAAATCTTTTTTTTTTTAACAGTGAATTTTCCCCCCCTCTAAAATCCTGTTCTTTTCTTACATATTATTACGATTTTAATACCGCATTTGATAACTGACTTTTTAAAGTTACAATTCCACCGTTTTTATGTTAGATTTTTCGATATGAATGTTGATTTGCATGTGATGTTTAAAATGCTGATTTATTTCATATGATGTCAATATGACACATAAAATATGAATTATACATTTAAGTAATCACTTTTTGCCTCAGTTACTGGTTTTATTTGCACCAATTCCAAGAAAAACCCATGTGGTGATTTGATGTTTTTTTTCAGCTGTTTTTGATTTTTCTATTGATTTTTATTTTGGATTCTTTCTTATTGATTTTTTCGAGCTGTTAGTGATTGTTAAATTTTCATTCGCAAGCAGAACTATTTAACCACTAAGTTTTTAAAAGAAATTTCAGATTTTCTGTTTCTAAAAATTGCATGTCTGCACAATCGGAATGTCCAGTTCTCCAGATTATTCCATGTTCCTTCAATTCATAAAGCTTCAAACCTTTTAAAACATTATAAAAATATCATTTTACTAGGATTTCACCAGGATCTCATTTACTATAAGAACTTCTTTTGTCATTGCAGAAGGAGGAAGAAAAATTGTCATTTATGGCTTATAAATCTACATTTATTTTAAACTACTTGTGAATGAATGCATAACCAGAATGTTCAGTTCCATAGATAGTTCTGTGACAGTGAACGTCCAATTTATAAATCTTTTGTTGATCAGAAATTGTTATTCAAAAGTTGCCTCTAATGTAAATATTATGGAAAATGCTCTGTTCGTAGTATTTTCCTGATAAAAAATATTTTGTCTTGATTTTAAGCTTTTTGTCCTGTTTTTACCTGTTTTTTTTTCTGTTTAGAAGATCCAATTTTCTACTAATACATATAGGTTTTAAATTAATAGATTTAAAGATTTGGATTTCAGATCCATCTTTTTATTTTAATTAATGTTTGTAAAATCGCAAAATGCAATAGTTCAGCGATACGATAGGGATCATCTACTAATTATTTAAATGGTTCAGGGGTATAGCATTGTGGGTAGGATTCGTTATTGTACACTTTAGCTGTGTTTTGTCATTTAATGAAAACAATATTCATTTAACAATTTTACTTAATAAATGATGATGATGATAATATTAACTGGTTGTTTTATTAATGTAACTGTACTATTAAAAATTTTCTATATATTGATAGCTAACTATTATGAGTGCTCCATTAGTAAAATTACTAGAACAAACAGAACTAAACAAAGCAATTCCAAAATTAAAAATAGTGTATTTTTTTATTTTTTGGCAATGAAATTTACGGTTACGGCTGATATATTTTTTTTTTTATTCCTTAAAAATTTTTGTTATAAATTTCAGCAATACAATTACAATAATTCCTTTTATAGCTTAAAAATTGATTTATGAAAAATTTATCAATTAAAAATTTATTTTAGCAAGAATTCTGTGTAATTTAATAATGTTAGGTTAGCCAGTAAATAGGTTATTGCATCATTAAAAATAATAATAAGATTTTTCAAAGTAAAATTCATCTGTTATGAAATATTTTTTTATGATATCAAAATTTAGTTCAAATAATTTTCTTCATTGTTAAATGCTTTTGCTGGTCCTCTTAAATTCCTTGTTATGAGATTCTATTTTGATAGTTTTGTTTCTTAGTTATTGGGTTGTAACTGCTGGAATATTGATATCCTCATGAAGTGCTCAATTTTTCTTTCTTATTTAGCTGATTTTGATCCAATTGTATTTTTCTAGGTATCTTCTTGTCTTTTAATTCAAGAATTGGTAAATTTTCTGAAGATCAAAGGCGATTAGAGTATGTTAAATTTTTATTTTGCAGAATTTTTATAATTCTTTTTACTGTGTTTTTAATTGCTTGTGTGTGTTTTTCTGTTTTTAGAATTGTAAGAATTAGCCAACAGTACCGTTCTGTGATTTTAGCCTGTGTTGAGGATTTACATCATGCTTCACGTATGTTTTGCTCACATATTTTCTTTTACATAAGAAAATCACTCTTTTTTAAAAAAACAAAAAACAATTCATGATTTTTTTTATTTTTTTTTTATAGAAACATCTCAGGATGAAGAATTGCTTGATCTTGTAAGTTTAGTTTATTTCTTTAGTTTAAATTTTCTATTATATTAGTTATCAGTAAGGATTTCTACAAAATGATCAAGAAAACTAAAATCTATTCACAATAAAACATACATAAGCATATAATTATACAAAAATAATAAACATGTAATTATTGTAAATACACTATATGTCTGACTTTTCTTTTTTTTAATTTTTATTATTTGGCTCAAACCTTCAAAACCTTCATGTTAGTCTGTTTGTCATTGAAGTTTTTTAATGTTATTTCTGATTATTAGTTTTTGATGATATTTCTGCTATGTCAAAAAACCTGTGACATAAATTTCAAAAGTTGCTTTTTTGTTTTGCTTTACAAGATAAAATATATATATAATATTAATGATATTTTAAATAGCAGATTGCTATGTAACATATTAATTTTTTAGATGAAAAAGAAAATGCTTTGGATTTAAAAAAAATTATAATAGTTTATTAACAATTATAATAAGCATTAACAATTATAATAAGCATTAACAATTATAATAAATATCATTAACAATTTTAAAATTATAATAGTTTTGCTGATATAAATTATAATTCTAAAATTATTATTGCACAGTGCACACAAAAAAGGACCAAACTGAATAATATTTGGTCTAATGATATGATCTTCACGTTCTAGGACCTAATCTTAATGTCTCAAGGGGGTAGCCTCAAATATGCTAATTAATAAGTATAGACAATATTTTAAGTTACGAAATCAGGCATAAACACATACTTTCTCCGAATAAACATAAATTTTGTTGTTGACGGATACAGATTTCTGAATCCCCCAAAATATATAGATCATTTATCAATACTTTCGCCAAAATACAATTTTTTTTCTTCCGAATTTGCCACTTTATTGCAATTGGCTAGGTGGTGAGTGCTTAGTGCGGGCCCTGTGTAGATTACTAAAATTGGTAAAAAAAGGTATAATTTCTGNATTATAATAAATATCATTAACAATTATAACAATATATAATAAACAATTATGTATAATAACAATTATAATAAATATCATTAACAATTATAAAAAACAATTATAATAGTTTTGCTGATATAAATTATAATTCTAAAATTAATTGTACAGTGCACCTAAAAAAGGATCAAACTGAATAATATTTGGTCTAATGATGGGATCTTCATGTTCTAGGACCTAATCTTAATATCTCAAGGGGGTAGCCTCAAATATGCTAATTAATAAGTATAGACAATATTTTAAGTTACGAAATCAGGCATAAACACATACTTTCTCTGAATAAACATAAATTTTTTTTTGACAGATACAGATTTCTGAATTCCCCTAAATATATGAATCATTTACCAATACTTTTGCCAAAATACAATTATTTTTTACCGAATTTACGATTTTATTGCAATTGGCTAGGTGGTGAGTGCTTAGTACGGGTCCTGCGTAGATTATTAAAATTGGGGAAAAAAAGGTATAATTTCTGTTTTAATATAATTGTTAATTATCCATTTCTATATTAGTATCATATATAGTGGAATATATTTTTATGTGTAACATTTTAAATATACTGTAATAACTCTACATACGTTATGATTTCCTGAGTATCCTCTTCAGTTTGAAATAATTTTTAATATCGCAAGCCTAACAGTGTCTCAAACTGATTAATTCAGCTACTGATTAATCTAGAATTTACTGTGTTAATAGATATATGATTTAAAAATGCTTCTATTTATGTCTTTTCCTCTGTTGAAAGTTTTTTTTATTTTCCTTTAGCTTCAAATGTTTTCAGATATTGAACTTCTGTGGAATCTACTTCACACCCTAATACTTGATACTCCAACTGGTAAAATAAAGTTTTATATGTATAAGATATGTATGTTTAAGTATCTTTTGTAGAATTATTTACATTTCTTATGAATCTTGTTCCATGCAGGTACACGTGTGCTATATAAATTGATAGATTGGATTAAATGGCATTTTGTAGATGCCCAAAAGAAACGTGAGGAACTTATGCAAACAGAGGAACCATCTTTACATCCAGATTACTGGGACACTGTTAGTAATATATGTCTCAATTTTGATTTTTACTATGCAATGCTATTTAATTTTAAATCTATTATCTTATTTTCAATTTTTTTGTAGGTCCAAATCGGGCTTAATATTTTCATAAATTTTTTTTTGTATTATAGGTGAATGTTTTTCTATTAGTTCACCTTAGATAATCAAGTTTATTATTTTTTTTCACAGATTATTCAGTTCCTACTTCAGGGGAATATACCAGTGGCCCGTTCATTGCTGTCTACCCATAAGAAGTACAACAGGGAAGATTATGCTTGCCTTGACGATTTGATGAGAAAAATGCCCATGTATAATGTGAGTTAATTTTATTTTGCTCATCTTTGTGAAATCTACATTATGTAATCTGAATCATTTGTTAAAAAAAAAAATTAATAAATTGTATTTATTCGGGTATGAAATTTTGCAGACTTTTGGAAGAAATGTTATACACATTAGTTTTATGTGCTAATTTCTCACTTATGTCTATTACTATCACAAATATATCACATTTTATCAAATGATCCTCTTAAAATTTTACTTTTTTTTGTGTCTAATCAAAGGACCTAAGGCCTTTAGATTTCCTTAGATTTCTTCCGAATTAGTGTGTGAATCGACAAATTGAGAGACTTGTGCACTCTTTGCATACAAATCGCAATATTTTTCACTTCCCCAGCTTACAAATTTCTAGTTCATGTGTATTTGATTTATCCTTTAATCTTTTATAAAATGTTTCAAAATTGTAAAGTATATGATAATAAAAAAAATGTAACTCTGTTATAAACAAAACATATGCTTTCTCTTAAAGTGATAAATATCTTAATTCATGCTGAAATAGCATATTTTCAAGCAAAAATTATTTTGTTGAGAGTTTTCTGCATTTGTTAATGTTATTTGTTACATAATGTTGGCGAGTGACTTCTTTCGTTTATTTATGTACATTAAACCGAATTTATGTTTTAGATTTTTTTGAAATGCTGTTATACACAGCAAATATTGATTGATAAAAGGTGTATCTTATATTTAATATAATTACAAAATTATAAACTGTGCAAACATGCTGAAAACCACATGTTACATTTATCTACATATTTTCCAAATTTCACATAGTTTTGTATTTTTCTACTAAGTGTCTTCTTTACCAGATAAATTAGTCTTTACCATCTTACTGTTTGTTCATAGATTTTGTATTTGCTTGATTTATAATGTCTCTTCAAATTTTAAATTTGTCTATTGTTCTAAATTTGCTATCCATAATGTTTAATTATTCATTATTTCAATTATATTTATATGAATGATAAAAAATATTAATATCTATTTAATTTTCTATCACTAATTATCTATTTTCTATCACTACATCATTTGATCACTAATAGACAAAATTTAATTCTTCAGATTCTCTTTTTATTCCTCTTGAAGTACAAATTTTATTTCATGATTTGTGATTATGATTATTATTTGCATAATTTATGCCTAATTTTATACCAGTTTTTCCCCCCTCTATTCTTATTGACTTGATTTATAAACTAATTTCATCTCAATTCATAAGCAACTCATGCTATCTTCAAGTTCTCATATCAACCTCATTTCAAGCCATTTAAAAATCAAGGATTTCGAACCTTATTCACACTATTTTTATATTAAACATCCCAATATATATATTTGCAATTTAAAAATTACCCAACATGATCAATATTTACTCGTTTTAAAATTCAAGCATCATGCATTATATTTACATGATTTAAAGATTTTACATTGCTATTCCTTTTCAAGTGTTTTAAAAGTCATTGATTGTGATTTGTATTCTTGTGATTTAAGAATTTCACATGATTCTTTTTGCCCGATTTATAATAAATTACACATCATGATTCACTTTCGCATGATTTAAAATTCAAACATTGTGATTTGTATTTACGCAATTTAAAAATCTCATATTACGATTCCTTTTCATGTGATTTAGGAATAGAGGATTGCTTTTGGTCACATGATTTTAAATCAAACATCACGGTTTTTACTCATGTAATTTTAAAGGTACGTAACGTGATTCTTAGTCATACTATTTAAGATCAGAAAACCTTGATTTACATTCTTGCAATAAAAGTTAGCAGACCACAATTCATGTTCACACAAATGAAAAATTGCGCATCGGGATTCCTGTTCACATGATTTAAAATCAAACTGCCTTTTTTGAATGGTAAATGAAACAAGTTAATTTAAAAGACCTGTGAATACTATGAAATTATTTATAATTCAAAACATTTTTATAACAATGTTGACACAGATAATCAAAAAGTAGTAATTTTAAATTTTTCTGTCATTTTTTGAATCTATTTTTAATTTTCTTAGCTTTTTTTTATTTATTACTTATGCAGCCTAATTCTCTGTCAAAAATTGAAATCTTTTAATATTATTATAAAAAGTAGTTATTTTTATTACTTTGAATAATGGATCTTATAATTTTGATGATATTTATTCATTTATACTGCATATAAATTTTAAAATTTCATAAAATAAGATTAGAAAGAAATGTATCAATTCCTTTTTGCTAAAAATTAAATTTGAAATTTATAATTTTTCAAAAGTATAAAATTACCACTTCTTTTTTCTTCCTGAAAACTTCAAGTATTTTTTTATGAATCATCCCTAATTATGCATTTTAAACCTTTCAAATATTTAGCATTGTGCTTGATCTTTTGTAAATTGGTTTAAAAAATTGCTAAGTATAAAGAATCCTCAATTGTTAAGGGTATCAAAAATTTTGGAAAAAATTTGATGAAGCAAGTACAAATGGAAGTTTAAATGGGTGAATTAATAAAGGGTTAATTGATTTTATAAGATCTCTGTGAAATTGAAAATTGGAAAATTGATATACTCATTTGAACTTATTTTTGAAAACAGAGCTCCTTTTAAAGATAAAGAAACAGATTCATCACTTTAATTTTCATGTGACTTAACTTACTTTTTTTAGGCAAATTGTATGATTTCTTTGAATGAATTTCGTGTTAGATGGAAACAATGGCAGGAAGAATGTAGAGTTAGACTCGAGAGAGAAGAGTTTTCTTCTGATGAGAATCTGGAAAAAATTTGCCAGGTAAAATTATTTGTGTGCTTTTTTTTTAAATTTTTATTTCTACTGATTACTGTTAAAATCAATGAGTTTTAGTACTTGTGTTAATACATTATAAATCCAGATAAAAAGGTTGTTTGCTATTATCTTATTTTGACTGTGATAGGAGTGGATTCAGGTTTTGTTTTATAGGTCCATTTTGGGAAAGTTATTATGAAAATGTAAATATTTTGATAATAATGAAAGAAAAAAAAAAGCATTTTATGAGACTCACACCCGAACTGTGCTTTAGGGGTGTGGGAGTGTCAAGTTTCATGTCATTAGGTAACCTTTTTTGAAATTTTAAATAGATTATTCTTATTTTTTTGATCGGACACATACTTCATTAACTAACTACAGTAATCTCTCGATTATATGCAGGCTGACTATTCGTGCTTCGCTTTTTTTCTTCTTTTTTTTGCAATGATAAACAACATAGTGTTTAGAATTGAAAATAAATAAATTCATAGAGATGGAACTATTTTAAGAGTTTTGAGAATGGCATACAACATTCATATTCATTGCCCAGGTGCATGCAATTAATCAAATAATGGGTCTATGTTTCATTATCGTAGTTTCAATTGCTATATCTAAGTAAAATGAAGCATTGAAGGGGTGGAAATGGTGAGGCATTCATAAAGAGCAAAGAAATGTGATTTACAGCTGTTGAACTACTAAGTCAGGATGGAGTTCAAATTTCAATGAATAGATTCGGCACGCATTAAAGCAGTTTCTTCTCCTGGATCGTATTGTTGTTATTCAAAGCAATGATATTGATAGCATTAAGGAAATTTAGTTTTCTCTGTCTTGCCTTTCTATGATGAATTGGAATTAATTATCCCCAATCATTTATTTAGTCAACATGTAACACATTCTTGGAATTCTTATCAGATTGATAACTAACGAATGAGGATGGTCCCCACACAACACTTATACCCCAAAGAAAAAAGGATGAAGCAGGACTTTGAATAATATGTGGGTCATATGCATGATTTCAAAATTGTTGTCAGTTGTTTTTTTTTCTTTTTCTGATAAGAGTTTCTAAAAATCGTATATGCACAGTAACTCTCAATAAGAACTAATTCACATATTTAGACCATCATTTTTTTTTTTTTATATCTTTCTTCTCTTTAAAAGATAAAATTTACAAGAAATTTCATTTTTGGTATTAAAATCACTATGTAGATCTATAATCAAACAAGTAAATAATTTTTTGTAGCTATTTCATTATAAAATATAGAGCATTAGATACTTACTAAAGCTTACAAAAATAAAAAAAAATACCCCTATCATACTGAACTTAACCATGTAACCACTTTATTTTACTCAGATAACTATTCATAATAAACTGAATTTTGAAATTATACCTAAATTTCCATATAGATCTGTTCTATAAAGATGTCCCTTTACGAGTTAGGACTAAAATTAATAGTTTTTAACAGTTTTTAATGATATTAAAATAAAGTTCATCAACAGTTTAAACTAACATATTTTATTAGTTCATCATAAACAGATAGTTTGTATACATTACATTTAATCAGTTTCTAAAACTTAAATAAAAATGCTTTCCACAATCTGAGTAAATGTTTCTAAAAATATCAAATAAATTATCACAAGTTAAATAATATTTAATGCTTGTTTTATATTTTGTTTTTACAAAGAAGAAAATAAAACAGAGCCAACCTTATTAATAAGATGGCATTTTTTAATAATTAATGTTGTATTAATCTCAAGAAGTCGAATATTTAGAGTGTAATAGAATAGTATAATATTATAGAGTATAGTAATCTAAAATATTTGTTATTATACATTCCAGCTTTTGTGTGGAGACTTGGAAGTGCTTAGTGAGAAAAGGTCTGTAAATTTTGTTTATAATATTTTTGAAATTTTAATATTTTGTTTTCTCTTTTTTTTTCTTGAGTGAAAAAAGAATTTTTTTTCTATTTATTTTAGTTATTTGTGTCGTAATTGGTACCATCTAATGGTTTCTGTACTTTTGTATACGAATCCATGTATAAATGTCTCAGAATTAGCTGATACAGCGAGAGTAAGTTTTTCTTTTTTGTATTATTTTCTTCGCACATTCCCATTTGTATAATGATAGAATTATATTTTCTGTTTCTCAACTTTCTTTTTTTAAAAAGGGGAAAAAAGTAGGCTCTGCAGACCATTCCCTATGGATTTTTCTCAGTCAGCATTTTTTTTTAATTTTTAAAGTTGATAAAAAAGATCATTTTGTTTGTGAAAGATGTAATTATTACAATTTTTTGTAAGAACATAATTTTGTTAATATATTAATCGTAAAGAAGTAAACAAATGCTTAGATTTGAAAAAGAATCAACTGTACTTGAAAACATTATGTTTAAAGTTGGAAACACAGAATCTGCAACAGAATAAGGAACAATAAATGAGAAGTAATTTTTCTACATAAATAAAAAATGACACAAATAAAAAAAGCTTTTTAGTAACACATCCAATTTCAATTCTGTAATTACGTTTCGGAGGCCTACAAGGTTGTTGTAGATCATTTGAAAAAGAATCAACTGTACTTGAAAACATTATGTTTAAAGTTGGAAACACAGAATCTGCAACTGAATAAGGAACAATAAATGAGAAGTAATTTTTCTACATAAATAAAAAATGACATGAGTAAAAAAAGCTTTTTAGCAACGCATCCAATTTCAATTCTGTAATTACATTTCGGTGGCCTACAAGGTCGTCCACATTGCATTTTTACTACAAGTTTAACAGTTTATAATTATTGAATATTTTTCAACTGCTAAATTTTTTTATTCCATTTTTAAAAAATGTGTAAATTTTTCTACACATTTTTCTAATTTCAAATTTCTAAGTCTTCTAGTTTTTACACAGCAGAATGTAATATAAGGTTGAACACCCAAAACAGCATCATGCGTATGACTTATTAATGTATAGAAAGAAAGCATCAATATTGAAATATAATTAAAAAAATTTCAGTTAGATTTTGAAATAATGATTTTTTTTTAATGCAGAGTTTCTGCTGTTCTGTTATTCTTGATAAGAAATATCTTGTCCTAATTTTCTGATTTTTCATTTATTTATTTGTATGTGTATGTTAGGAACATTCCTTTTTCTAAGAATACTAATGCAGTTTTTGAAATAAATGATTTTTCAAAGCAAAAAATTTGAATTTTTTATCCAACCTCTTTTATTTGAATTAATGCTAGTAAAAATCTAAAAATTCAAGCGATCATGCTTAGAGACAATCCAGTAATTATATACTTGGTTCATTGAATGCAGCCTTATCCGCACAATTCATTCTTTCAGGCTTTTCGAAAATAGAGTCATTTTATGAAAAAGAAACTCCATTTGCAATACCAAATTAACCTAATTCAGGGGTAATATGTTTATTTAGTAAATTCGTCAAATGCAATGACGAAGCGTGAAGGGCAGAGTTTTGTAGTTTCACAATTATTGATTTGTCTTTTCTAATTTGATTTTGAAAATGATCAATTCTAAATAAAAAATACAGTAATCATATCGCGGAATTCCAAAACGGTGAACAGAGGGATTATTCACTACATTACTTTTGTACAAAAATATTAAGTATTATATTCACCTTGTTTTTGTTTCGAGATTATTGAAACCGTACTTAAAAATTTTGTTTGAATTTTAGTTTTAATTCTTGAACTTGATAACAAGTTTTAATTATAAATCGGTATGAGAAAATAACTAATTTATCCTATTTTTACCCCCACTTTGCAATAGTTCTTCATAATAGTAAAATCGTTTGTATATGTATTAATCTCAAAGTATTATGAGTTCTTCACTGCTCCATCAATGAAATTATAATAGAAACTGTCAAATTCCTTTTATTACCAAACAAAGTAATTCTACATTTAAAAATATTATAGTTTATTATTATTTTTTATTATATTTAAGTAGATAAAATTACACTTATTTAGGGAAATGCTTAATCATTTTAGATTTTTCCTGTTGGTTTTGAGCATTGTAATAAACAGTGCCTGATTTTCCACTTTGCCAGTAACATAAAAAACAATTTCAGAAAATTAAATTTTTCATTATATAAAAAATTTTAAAAATGCTATTTACTTGTTTTAAAGATAATAAAACTTGTATGCAGATACTAATAAGTTTTTTTTCAATGATATGCCAAAATTTAATATATTGTGTACTAAAATCTGTGATAACACACCACTCAATAAGCCTCCGGTCTGACAAAAATAGCACCACTGCTAACAAAGCCATATAATTTCTGAGTAGTAGCAACTTTCAAACAATAATTGTCAAAATGTCATGACATCCTGATTATTAGTTTTGAGGTTACAAGTGGTTTTAGTGACCCTTGTTTTGTAATTTTTAAAAGAATGGATGAAAAAGAATGTGTTTTGATTAAGTATTATTTTTTGAAGGGAAAAAATACTGTTGAAGCAAAATAAAGGCTTGATAATTATTATGGTACTCTGCACCAGGAAAATCAACCATTATTGATTGGTATGCTGAATTTTAATGCAGCTGTAAAGACAGTGATGATGCTGAATGCTCTGGTTGCTCAAAATCAAATGTTTTAGACCGTAAAGTGAAGTTGCGTGAGATAGCTGTCACCTTAAGGATATCACAAGGTAGTTTGTTTACAATTTTACAAAAAAAGTTGAGCAGGCTTGTGTTGCTTTCAAAATGGCTGCTGCGTTTACTCACACCAAACTAAAAAGAACAATGTGTTGACGATTCAGAATGCTGTTTGGAACTTTTAAAGCAAAATAAAAAAAAAATCTTTTGTCTGCATATGACAATGGATGAAACATGGATCCAGTACAACACTCTTTAATAAAAAAAAACTTCAGTTGAGTGGATAACAGTCGGGTGAAAGTCATTCAAAGCGATCAAAAAGTCAAAAGTTGACTCGCAATATTGTGACCTCCGTACTTAGGGACATGCATGGTATTTTGTTCATCGATTATCTTGAAAAAGATGAAACTCTAGTTAGCGAATATTACATTATATTATTGGATTGAATAAGCTAGGAAATTAAGAAGAAGCAGCCTCACTTGCAAAGAAAAATAATTCTGTTTAACTTAGACAATGCCCCTTTGTCACATAATGGCTGAATTGTATGAATTATTTCCCCACTCACCATAGTTTCCAGATCTGTCCCATCGCGACCAATGGCTCTTATGAAATTTAAAAAAGATGCTCCAAGGGAAAAAATTTGGCTCAAATGAAGTTATTTTTAAAACTTGGGTCTATTTTGAGAGCAAAGAAATCGTTCTACAAAAAAGGCATAAAAAGAAATTCGAAGAGTGTTGGAATAAACGTATCTTTTATGAAGTCTAGTTTCTAAAAAAAGAATGCTGTTTTTCTTAGCTAAACCGGAGACTTATTGAGTGATGTGTTACACCCATATTTTTACTAATTATTATTTTATTCAAGTTGTCTATAATGCATGTAATATTTTTTTCTTCTTAGACTTACTACAACAATGTAACTTGTGACTCGTGGAATAAATCTAATACTGTAGATTCAGTGATATTAGCTGCTATGGAATTAGATCTAAAGAATGTCATTGCTTTGATATGGTAAATTAACCTATGTTGTGCATTATTGCCACTTTCTTCTAATGATTTAAATTTTTTAAAGATTAATGATATGCAATTTTGTGTTTTAAATAAATCACTTCATTCTAAAAAAAAAAAAAAAATTACTTTTTTAAAATAATCTCTTTTATTGTCAGAATGAATTCATACATTTATTCTGATTTAAATGAATACAATACAGAGCTGTTCTTAATTTCTTAAGGGCAGAAAACTATAGTAATAAACTTCATCAAATACTACAAATTATCGTTGCTTTATAATATCTACTCTTAAGTAACAAGTTATTTTTTGAAAAATCATATTTTTACTTTATAATTTGATAGTGCATACATTAAAAACATTTTTTCTAAATGCATATTTTGAACTTATCTTATTTCCATATATTTAAATTTATAACTTAGTTCTTCCTTTGACATCATTATATTTTTGTCAGCCAACAACTATTTGTCTATTGTTTTAGAAAATAACTCCTCTTTTAAAAAATCTTTATAATAAATTTTAAAAAAACTTATGAACTGAATTAATATAATTAAAAAGATGTTTTGTTTTTTTAAATTTTGTAAAGACTATTCAAACCCAAGTAAACAAATTACTTGTTGAGTAGCTGTAGAAAATAATTTTAGTACATTGAATTTTTTTTTTTCAAAAAAAAGCACAAATAATATCTAATGCGCTTGTATTCCATCTTACCTAAACTTTCATACTACTGTCAAATAATCAGAAAAAAATTTGAAAATTTTCTCTCTATATATATCTATATATACATATATGTATTCCTCTCTCTCTATTTATATATGTAGTGAAACCTCGGTTAAGTGGACGTTCTTGGGAACGAAATAATTGCCCCTTTACGAGAGTTGCCCGTTGACAGGAAGGGTACCCTAATAATAAAGTTTATCAGCATAAATTGTTTTTAGAATAGTACTTTCAATGATGTAGAAATAATTAAATGATCTACAATAACTATCTACAAGGATATTTATTCATAATTTGAAAAATATTTTTTTCTATACAAAAGAAATGTATAAAAAAAGTTTGATATAAATACATAATTCTAGATGCAGCTATGTAAAAATTAATATAATTTTCCTGTTAACACAGGTGTTCAAGTTAGTCATACAATACCGAATAGGAGCTTTAAGTCTTCAGTCGGTTTCACTCAATGAGAAATGTGTTTAATACCTCCTTGAAAGTAAGCCGCCCGCGATTCACAGAAAACAAAAGAAATCAATGCTGACCTATACAGTATGAGGACCTATGGAGTTGATATATTTACGATTAATCATCTATCAAGTGTCTGAATAAATGTTTCCTTTATATGAACGTTCTCTTTTTTGTTCTCTTTTTTTACCCCAGCTGTGTTAAATACAGTCTTCAAATTTATAAGAAAATGCAAGAATTCAGTGGAGAAGAAACATTTAAGAGGTTATTTCAGCTTGTGGGGTCTCATAACCTATGTTGTCCAGATGAAAAGATCAAAAGATGCCACTATCTCAAAAAGCAGTATTATTTTCTCACCTTTCTTTGCAAATATAAGGCAAGGTGACAGGAGAAAGATTAATTCTTTAGTAGTGAAATAGCTTAACAATATTTTTAGCTATGGATAAGAAGAAGAAAATTTACAAGCTTTGAAAATAAAATAGTGAAATATTGCTTTTTCCCCCCTCGCAATTTAAAGCAGAAATTTTTTTTTTTACAAATTTAGAAAATATAGTGTCCGGCTTGAAGAGATAGAAAAGAACGTTTCAGGGCAAAGATGACTGTCTATGTCCGGTTACAGTAGTGATCAACTTTGCGGAGAATGTACATAATGGTTTATTTATAGAAGATTCACGGGGAATTAATAATATGTACGTATTGAAAGGTGCCCGTTTCACAGGAGTGTCCATAACAGGAGGTTTCACTGTGTGTGTATATATATATATGCAGCACAAAAAAGACAAGTATAAAAAGAAAAACTTGATAAATTAATTATTTTTCTTCTCTTTTCATTAATCTTTATTATTTTCCATGTTTTCTCTATATTTTAGATATACAGTACAGAACCCGTTATCCGGAAATCAGAAAACCGGAAAACCAAAAAACCGGAACGAAATTTGCTAAATTTTCTCGCCATTTAAAAAAAAAATGTTTTTTTTTTCCTCATAAGATTTTACGATTTTTCTTTCTTTTTTTAAAGATGTTTACCTTACCATCATTTTGGAAATAATCATTAGTGTATTACTTCATCGTCTTTTTTAATTTTTAAGATTATTTCCAAATATTATTTTTTTTAGTTGGGTTTAACAATAAAAAAAACGGCTTTTTGTAGCAATTCAGAAAACCGGAAAAACCAGTTATTCGGAATAGCGATGGTCCCGACCGTTCCGGATAATCGGTTACTGTATTGTTCGGTTCTTTACTGTATTGTTCATCTATATTTTTCTAATGAAAGATATTTTCAGTACATTTAATGATGGATGGTGGTTTGCTACTCATCTCATGGATCTTTTTTCTCATGGGGATTTCATTGAAAATAGTGCTGGACAAAATGGGTAATAATTCTATTCTTGACAACAACAGTATTGTGTTTCCGAACTCTTAAATATTTTTTTTTTTTGTGTGTGTAAGCTTTTTATTTTTTGTACATTAATCATTTAATAACACACTAACATTACAGAGTAAGTGCCTGTAACTATAAGTGGTCACTTTGGCCACTTTACTGGAGGTTATACCTCAGAAGAAACACTTCATGGCAAATTCTCTTTTATTTATGTAGGCAATTTTAAGTATAGTAACAAATGTGTTTGTGTAAATCTAGATTTAGTGTTTAGGTTTCAAATGCTGAAAAAATTGTTCTAAACTATCAATTTCCAAGTAATTATGTCAGAATTACTTAGGATTAAGTTGTGGGAAAGTTATCTTGTGATAATTTTTTGTATTTTGATATTTTAAAAGCATTTTCCGGGCATTTGAAACTTTGTTTATTCTAGGCTTATTTTTCTCTAAATTTCAAATTACCAGTGGTAGGGAAACATAATTCCTCATGAAATGTTTCTCCCAGGGCATAGCATCCACTTAAAAGAAATGAGATGAAATGCTGATATCATGTATATTTAAAGTATGTAACCATATAATTTGCTTGTTGTAATGCTTTCCTTCAAAAGTTTTCGCTTCAGTTCTATGTATATAACTTCAGTCTGTTTAGAGGCAACCATTTTTGATAAATAATATACTGCAGAGAACTGTTAAGTCTAAGCAAAAATAAAATCAAGAAGAATGTGAATACTCTAAAATTAATGGCTTCCTGCAATACTTAAAAAAAAAAAATAAATAAATAATTTCAAACAAGATATTTTACGATTCATGAATTTATTAAATCCATTGAAAAGGAATTTACAAAGGTTATGAATGCATATAGGAAACTTCAAGAGTGATTCATCCTTGAGGAAGCACTATAAAAACTTTAAGTTCTCTTTAATGGAAAATAATTGATAATTTTTTACACAGAATGCACCCAAGACCCCCAAGGTTAAGAATAGATATGTTCTGTCACTTTTTCTTTATTCATAGTTGTTGTTAATTTACGTCGCACTAGAGCTGCAGAATGGGCTATTGGCGACGGATGAATTTTATTGAGCGGTAATACAAAAAAAAAATAATAATGGTTTGAATAATTTCTTCCAAACTTTTGTTTCCTATTGACTAACTCTCAATAGAAGGGGCAGGATAGCCTGGTCGGTAGGGCGCTGGGCCCATATCCAAGAGGTCGTGGGTTCGATCCTCGCCGGCCGAAGACTCCCCGTGTAGTAAATGGTGACTGATGCACGTTAAATCTGTCGAGTCTCAAAGTCCTCCATGTTCCCACAACAAATCAANAAAAATATTTTAAAACCTGCTGATTACCTATAGTATAATTAAATTTCAATATAATGCATGGCAAGTGTTGGTAGTTTTGAAGTTTATATATTCTCTTGGCAAACTTCAGTTTTTGACATTTTTGACGGGTTTTTGACGGTTTAAACCAGTATTATACCCTTGTCATGTCAAAAACCACTTTTTGACGTCAAAAACCCAACCCTGATATATATATATATATACTATTTGAATTGAGAATACTGAAATAAAAATTAGGTCACTTTATTGGAATGAACGGCTCAATTTGGAGTCTCTATTGGTTGTAGAAGCATTTTCTATAAAATGCATTTAATATTGTAATAAATATAATGTAGTTAAATTGGATTTCTGGAGAAAAAAAGGAAATGAGTTGTTGTTCCAAATGTGTTGCCTCATAAATTTTTCGGCTGGGATTTAAAATATTTGAAATTATATTTATGTTTTTTTTATTTTAGACAAAGTGCAAATTTTAGAAAGTACCTATTGAGAAATTATGGAGAAAATCTTATGTGCCATCCAAGGTAAGTTTAATTTTAAATGCAAATAAATGAAATGGATTATTATTCCTTGTATTTTTTTCTGTGTTCTTTAATTTCCAGTAGTTTTTTTAAAACATCTACATGCTTACAATCCTTATGACTTTAAAGTTAATTAGGAATATTCTGGGTTGTTTTTGTTGACGTTACTTTTGTTAATACTTCAATTATAATGTGTAATATTCCTGATAATTAATACTATGTGTCTCCTGAAATAAAATAAAAAGTGTGAAAGATATTGCCTACAACAATAACAGATTTCGCATTATCAATCTCACAATATTTACTCTTACCATTACATATATGGCAACTTAAACGCATTACTCCTAAAATGTGTGTATTTTCAGTCATCTCCTATTTAAAAACTTAAATGAAAAAGAACATACAAATTTAAAGGAATTTTTTTTCCAGCTTTGAAAAAAATGTTGCCATATTAGAAAGTTGTTTTCTAGTTATTTTTTTAGGGTCATCATGCTCTTTTATCCAGTTATTCTCTTAGTTCAAGCCAGAACTTAATTTTAGCCTTTTTTTTTTTATCAAGGGCTATGAGAAAAATTTGTTACTCACTATGCATACATGTTACTACAGTTATATGTTACTTTCAATGATGATCTAAACACACCTTACTATTTTACCTTCCTCATAATGGTTTCTCATTTTATAGTTTTTGTAATGTGCTATCACACAAAAAAGAGTTTTGTATCCCTATAATTAAAAGTGATTCATGCAAGATTAGTTTATTAATAAACTGTATCTGGTAAAAATTATAGCTAGGAGAAGTCAATGTGTAGACCAGTGATTTTCAACCACTGTGCCGCGGCACTTTTGTGTGCCGCCAAATTCTTAAAATGTGCTGCCAAATATTGGAAACGATACAATAAAAATTATAATGCTTTTTTTTTATTATGAGTAAAGTTTAAACTAAAGAAAAGTGTATATATATATATATACTTATACTTATATATATACTTACAAACAGAAATAAAAGCTCATCATTAAAGTAAGCTATGAAATTAATAAACAAATTAACAAAGGATAACTAAAAAAAATTAAGCTAACAATTAATAATTAGCAAAAAAACAAGTTAACAAGAAATCACAAAAAAATAACAGTTAATGTAAAAAAACTAAAAGTTAATAACTGTAGAAAACAAGCTAACAATTAATAACTAGCAAAAAAAAATAACTGTTACTAACTAATCAGAAAAATAAGTCGAACGAAATAATTAATCCCTTAATAAACGTGCTTTTGTAGTACATATTATTTTATGTCACATTCAAAATTATTATCACAAACTATTTGATACAGTGTATAATAGGTAAGTAAGCAACTTTTAATTTAATGTTTTTCATTGTGTGCATCAAATTTCGAAATCGTTAAAAGTGTGCCGCAACAAAAAAAAAAGGTTGAGAATCACTAGTGTAGACCTTTAGCATTTCTTATTTTTGGCTTCTCTTTTTACAACCGTGAATTTTACAAATGGCCGGTTTTTATATTCTTAATTTTTTCCAAGCCTTTGAATGGGGAACCTACTGTAATTAAATACTTGACAGTGACATCACGTGTGGTTAAATCCGTCAAGTTCGACACACACGTGACATCGCTTTCAGGTATCCAATTAAATCTCGTCCAAAAATGGATTCAGCCTGATAATAAACCCAAGCCTGAAAGCTGTAAAATTAATAAACCATGCACAACAACATGATTAGTTGCAAGTAACCAAATAAAGTTTCTTTTTTCTTTTCTTAAATAACCAGTTAAGCAAGATTTTTCTTTGTTGGTAAAAAGATGAATATCATTGAAATCAATGACTTAGTCTCAATTTTCGCACATTTTTATACCAGATCAAACAATGCAGCATTGCAATAACTAGTTAATTATTAAATTATTAGATGATAAAACTCGTTTCGCAAAACTATGGATTTCCTTCGTAATTAGCATAGAACCTATTATCTAATTTTGAATCTGTGTAAAACTAGAATCCCTATCTTTCATTGAAGTTTGATAGTTTGAAAAAATATGTCTGCTTTTTTATGTATTTATCAGAACCATTTGTAAATTTTCTTTTAAATTGCTATAAATACAATAATTTATTCATCTTGATTTCAGTTTGTGGCAAATTGGAATTGACTATATTGATCACAGTGATATAAGTTGGTAAGAATACTTATTTATTTGTTGAAGTATTTAAAATGTATTTAACTCCTGTTAATGATTGTTATTATTATGTTTTTTTTTTTTTTAGTGAAGTATATCTTGAAAGAATACCATTGAAAACTGAAGCTCAGGCTCGTAAAGTATTGTATTTGGCAAAAAAACGAAATTTGACCAGTCTAGGTATGCATTACTAATTTATAAATTAAAAATAATTAATTAGAATTTTTTTTGACTTTGATTTTTTTTAAAAAAGTTTTTGTGCGTTTTATGTTAGCAAAAGATATATTTTAGATATTTAACTTGTTTAATTCTTTGTTTCCTATCTTTTTTTTAAAAAGAATTTTCTGAATTTTATTCATTTAAAATATGAGTTTCAATCAAAAATGAAAAGTTTGATGGAAGATATATGTCTAATAAAATGCTTAAAACGTTCAACTGAAAAAATTATAAAAATATATTATTAGTTGCTGGTGCAGAACATTAGATTATACTAGTTGGTCTATTGATTAGGAAATATTTAGTGGAAGAAGGTTTTGTTAATCATTTTCTGTTTTTTCTATACATTCTAAGGTTGTCATTTTTGTTCATATGCTAAATTATAACTTCACATATATTCTTCCACTTAGTTCTTCAATTCAAGAGCTTAGTGGAAAGATGTACCTAGTGGCATTTTTAAAAAGTGCGAAATTTTGGGTTTTAAAATATAATGAGCTCAGCTGTATGTATAAAACTTAAATGTTGTTTCCCTGATCAATCAATATGACGATTTTTATTGAATGGAAATTTGTGTTTTATAGACAGCTTTATTTCTTTTCTTTACGAAAAAAAAAATTTAAAAACTGTTGCTTCTAAATTTACTAAAATGTTATTTAGAACTTAAGCTCACACTGGAAATTTATCGGTCCAAAAGAATTACATAGATATTTATTTAGTGGTTCTAAAAATTTAACATAGTACTGTACTGAAAAGAAAAGTTTAAGCTTTCAAAGTGTATGAAAATGATTGAACCTAATTGAGCAAAGAGCTGTACAACATTCCCAAATATTCTAGATGCTACACATTTTTTAATCTGTGGTGAACACAAGAATTTTTCGAGGTGGTGTCACAACTAACAATATGCATATAATAATAGATTTTTTATTATGTTTTCATTTGCTCCCTATTGCATCTGTGGGGGAAGAATTTTATCTGCGGATCACTGGAACACAATTTCTATCGAAGCTTTTTGCTTGATAACAATTCAAGTTTCAATCGAATTTCCAAAAATTATTCTGTAATTCCTAAATAGATGTGTGGCTTTGTTGCTAAAAATTTTCATTCTATTCAGCTCTTTACTTGTTTTTTTGTTATATATATATATATAGGTTGTCATTTGAAAAATTTGAGTNATATATTAATCTATTTTGCTTTTTCAGCAATTAGTGCAACAGATCTTCATGTAGATATTAGGTAATGGATTTTTTAATGTGGCATTATTAGAATCGCCAAAATTTAATAAATAGATGAATTCCCAAAAATTTGCATCAAAACTGATTTATGAAGTGTTTGAATTTCCCATGGTAATTACTTTTGGATTAAAGAGAAAAAAAAGTGCGTGGAGTCCCACCGTGCGGAAGAAGTTAAACTTTGTAACCTGCGACGTTAATTGTAGAAGAATCGGCAGTTGTAGAAGGATCACTAGTTCTAATAAATTATATGTGTATCAAAACAAACTAAAATAATATTTATAGAAAAGCAAAAGTTTTAGGACTTTTATTATTTTAATGCTAGTGAGAACCGAAACAATATGGAAATGAATGAGGGAAAACTGGATCCTACCACGTGATTTCCCGGTCAAAAAAAATGTAGCGTTAAACGTTTAACGCAACCTTGTTGGAAGTCGCATAAGAAGTATAACTNATATATTAATCTATTTTGCTTTTTCAGCAATTAGTGCAACAGATCTTCATGTAGATATTAGGTAATGGATTTTTTAATGTGGCATTATTAGAATCGCCAAAATTTAATAAATAGATGAATTCCCAAAATTTTGAAAATGTAAAAAATTTGCATCAAAACTGATTTATGAAGTGTTTAAATTTCTCATGGTAATTACTTTTGGATTAAAGAAAAAAAATGAACAGGCAAGCTTCTTGTGCTGTAAATGGTGGAAAAATAAGTTTATAAAAAATAGTTCACGCAACAAATTTGCCATCCATGCTTTTGATTTTGTCAACATTTATTGATGACTTGACCAAATTGTCCCCATGCTGGTGTAAACCTTATTCAGAGCATTCTTCCTATAAATTCTTTGATTATACATATTTTTTGAAGGCAAAAATAAAAGTTATAGTCTGTCTATCTAAAGAATTTCTCTTGCCACTCATTTGGAGAATTATTGGTGACAATGGTTATACGTTTGAACTATTCCTTATAGAGGTATGGGTGCTTCCAAGCAGTGCACTTTACCCTTCAGGGATTTTTTTAAAAACATGAATGGTGCTCAACATGTTAACAAAAACCTACTAAAATATTTCTTTATGATTTTTAAAATTCAAGAAACTGAACATTAATGAAAGAAATTTTTGTTAACCATGTTATTAATAGTTTGAAATTATTATTTTTTTCAGTGAAAACAGTTTCTAATGTTATGACTTCTAAGGCAATGGCAAAAGGAAAACTTGGAACTGCTTTAACATGGGTTATGTATTCTAAGGTCAATTATCCTTTCTTTTTTTAAAGTTAAATTAATTAATAAAAATATTTGTCTGTACGTTAGAGATGTGGCAAGCTCACTTTAAGAGGTCTGAACCCGGTAAATAATACATAATTACTTAGCCCTAGGTATACGTCAGTTAAAGATCGAATTTAGCACTCTCGCAAAAGTACTGGACAGAACTAGCAGATTGCTGTTATTTTTTTATATCGTATAAGTTGTATTTTTTTGTACTTAATGCTCGCTCGAACCAAACGTTTCTTAATAGTTTCTCTTAAAAAAGTTCATGAAAATTTTATCATGAGCCTGAAACATTTTTTCAGTAAGCAAGCCATGCCGGGCTTGGGCATCTCTACCGTACACATGCATTTATAAATAATTTGTTTTTGTTTCTAAACTGCATTTTTTTACACATATTTCTATTTTTGTTCTTTTACAGAATGTCCGGTACGCAGATGAAATAGCTGATAGGTTTGTATTTTATTATAGCTATATTGTTCAAAAATGTGCTATATGGGTGTTATTTTTCCATAATTATTACAATTTCATTGTCAAAATTAGCAATATAAATTACAGTTATTGCAAAAAATAAGCTTTTAAATAATTTTTTATGCTTTTTATTTGCACTGTTTAAAGTAAGCTCCCCCCTCTTGAACTACTAAGAGTTAAGAAACTTTAACATTAACTTCTCATCTACGATCAGTTCTATAAACGATAAATGAGAAACAAAAGTGATTCGATAGAAACAAAAAATACAATAAAAACAAACAAATTAATCTGAAATACTGTGAACAAAAATGTTTAGTGTAGATTTAGTTACTTTAGTTTTAAAGCAATAACGGCTAGATCTAATTATTCCAAAAAACTAGAACATTGTTTACAGGCAAGCAATTTAATTTTACTCCTTAAAATTGCTCTAATTTGAATTTTGTAAACGCTAATTGTTTATATTTCTGTATTATTCAACTTTTGATTACTGAGAGCTAGTATAGAAAGTTGGTACCTCTGCGTACATATAGAATAGAATTCTTGAAAAAAAAATTAAATAAACATTTTTGCACATTAAGGGTCGTAATTAGTATTAATCTATTTTTATCTCTGATTTTGTAATATTTTATTAGCTTTTAATTTTATTGGTTATTAATTAATCTAAATGCTGATGTGTAAAATTGAAAAAGTTAAACTGTATGAATTATGTAGAAATAGAATTCCAATTAAAAAACTTTTTTTTTATCTATTAATAATTTATATGTAAGCAAATTTGTATTCATTACAAAAAAAAACAATGTATTTTAACTTAATAGGTGGCTGAAAGATTATGCTGATCGTGGAAAAGGTGAAGGCTTTGAAATTTTTAGAAACATGGGCTCTTGTATGCTGGTCAGTGATAAGTTGACATTTGTTGGTAAGAACTAAACTATAATTTATCCATATCAGTTAACTGATTTTTAAATCAGTTGATTTTTTTTAAAAATATGACCCATTTTACTATATGCAGGTCCCTATTTAAAATATGAATTCTCTACCTTTTTACACCTTCAGTTATTAATAAAGACGAAAGAGAGAATTCTTTTATAGTAAAGTTTGGCTATAATTTTGCTTACATAAATCTTCGAGTGCTATTTTTTTGCTGCTCTAAAAAATTACTGGTCTCGGTTAATGTGTTGTAAGTTTTTATCATGTCCGCAATTTTTGATGTGTCAGTGTGCAAACAAAATTGCTGAGATTAATGTTACTAATTCTTTTACTAATCTATTTATTACATTTTGTCCAATTAGAAACTATTAGTTATAGTATTTTGCATGTTTTTGTTTTTATATGAATTTTGTGGTTCTCTTTCAAATAAAAAATAATAATAATTTCAGGAAAATATTGTGAATTCCATAAATTGTATGAAGACCAAGATTTAAAGGCAGCTGCAACGTTACTGATTTCTTTGATAGCATCAGGATTAGCTCCACCTAAGTAAAAAGAAATTATTTTATATTCGTTTTTTTTTTTCATTTACCATGAATTTTTTTTTTTTAACTTTGCTAGTTATTCAAGAATATACTACAATTATTTAAAATGAATTTATATCTTTTACTATTCAAAGCTATAAACTTAGGATTATAATTAAAACTTATTTTAAAATGTCCATTAAATATTGCTGACTTGAAATATGTATTTTTCAGTGAATGTAATATTGTTCTTGTGTTTTTTTTCCTTTAGTTTATTCAATGTTAAAAAATCTCTAAAATTATATGTGGGGCTATATCTTACGTATTCAGAGATGATTGTGCTCCGGAAAAAATCCGGACTTCCGGATCTTTTATTAACAGTGATCTGCACGTTTTCGGAGTTCCAAAGTACAGAAGTTTCAAGTTATGTTTCATTGCAAGTTATATTAAAAATTTAATATTGGCAAACAAAATTTTTTATTTAAATTTTATTTTGTTTTTTTATTTATTTATTTATCTTTGATATTTTCTCAGGAAGGCTTTCTCATTCTTTGTTGGCAAGCTGAGAGCAGTATAAACAGATCCCTCTTTAATTAATAATTTTTATTTTTTTTTGTTCTCTAGAATATCGTTGATCACTAAATTTCTCATTTCAATTAGAATTTGTTCACGCAGTTTGTTTATTTATACTATTACTAGTGCATTTAAAGGTATGACTGCACCTCATAAATATGGAATCAAACATGCAATTTATTTGTCGATGAAGTATACTTTATTCAATTAATTCATTGTTTTTTATTATTATTAATTTATTTCTTTATTTACTTATTGTGTTCATCTGGCCATCCTAATTGATACTAAATAAACTAATTTGAATAGGAAACTTTATCTTAATTCAGAATTTTTTCTAAGTTCTTAACTGGTCAACTTATCAATATCAGATTTTTATTTCGACACTATCACAAGTGCTGTGATAAGCGATGACTCTGTAATATGTCCAGACATTGCAAATGATATAATTAAATCAATAAATTTAAATGTGAAACCTTTCTTTATTTGCTATTATTAAATTTATTTATAACTGTGCGCTTCTACCTCAAAAATATTGGAATGTTTTTTTTTTTTTAAAGAGACAACGTGTGTTATTCACACATTTGTTGCATTGTAAATACAGTGGAAAGTTGCGTATCCGGAATCGGCGGGACTTTCCGAAGTCCGTATATTTGATTTTTCCGTATAATTGACCTCCAAGGTAAACAAAGCTTAAAATGATCTGAATCTAAGAAGCAGAAAATAAACATTATTTTTCGGGCAATAATGTTTTAGTATTAGAATGATATCTAATCAATCATAAACAAAATATTAGAAAAAAAATAATTATTGCTATTTTAAAAATAAATATAGAAAACGAAAAAAATTCACAGTTATGAAAACATTAATTGCTCTCTCCGGCATTTTGAACTAGAACGATTCAAGCAAGAAGGGGAAATTCCCGTCATTCAATAAGGTGGGTAGGTGGAGAAGAAAAATTCATTTCCTCCTTACTTGTCATTCAAGTTGAGGGCGGGGTAGTGACAAATTCTTATTTTCTCTCCCATCATTGGCTATCAATCAAGCATAAAGGCGTGGCATGCTNTCAACTTCCCTCAATAGTCGAACATATTTCTCTACAGAAAATAAAAATGATCGGTATTTGCGGACATTTCTGTTCGTATCTTTGGCATTTCCACATTTAAAACTTTACTCTTTTCTGAAAAAAAGAGAAATGCATGTGGTGAGTTACCGAAATGCAAGTATGCATTTCAATGACTCACCACATGTTATATGTTTCCAGACATGCCTCCACATGTTATGCGTTTATAAGTCACTAAAATGCAAGTATACATCAAGATTAATACGTTTCTGCCGGTTTCATTAAAAATGTTTGTACCAAAAGTCAGCATAATATGAAACGTTACGGTGACTGTTTCAAAATCTGCTAATTTTCACTATATTCACTCCTTGTATAAAAAACTTTGCTTCAAATTGCGATATAAAGCAGAGATGCCAACTGTTCCGGACACACCAAGATAATTAAAAAAACGGTAAATAACTACAAAGTAAATTTTGCAAATATTTGACTATTTTTGCTTGCTTTTTAAAAGTTATAACATGACATAAGTACTATAAAATGGTAAATTATGTAAGCCCTTATTTAGAAATACTGGTGTATAAAAATCTGCTAAATTGAATTTATTAAACCAAGAATCACAATTGATAAACTACCACTTTAAAATATATATTTGCTGTCCGGAGCAAGTTGGCGTTTCTGCTTAAGTACAATTTAATTTTGATTCATTACAGATTATTGTGTAATATTTTTATTAAATAAAATTGTTTTAGGATCACTTAGTTTTTGAAAAGTTGTTCTTTTATTTCTTTGTTTATTTATTTTTATTAATAAGTTTTCCATTTACTTTTTCGTATCTTGCAGCTTTGTTTCATATTTTAGGATAATTTATTTATTTTTTAGCTAAGACTAAAACACTGTGATTTTATCCTTTATTTATTTATTTTTTTGTTAGTCTGTTGATTTATGTTGATAAAGCTTGTCTGTTGATTTGTTAATTTCTTTTTAGTATGGTTCGTTATTTGATGTTATAAATATGCTTTTTTAATTTTTTTTACATAAATTTTTATTTATTATTTCAATTAGTATTTTTACAATTTTATTGTAATATTATTTTTTTTAAATTTTATTTTGTCTAATTAATATTTTAAGCGTTGCTTATGTATTGGGTATTTTAATTGTTTATTGTGTTTTTGTTTTCAAAAAAGTTCTTACATTAATTAAAATTTTAATTTTACACAGATTATTTATATATTTTTATTATTTTTTTAAATAACTTTGAAGATATAAACAAATAGTTTTTTATTGTTGCACTGTAAATTCCCCTAGTCTTATTTTCCCTTTTATTGATTCATTGCAATTATCAGATCTGATGTACCGTATAAGTTAAAGCTGAATGTATAGTTTAGGTTTGATATTAATGCTGCAACTGAATTCAAGTATAAAAATTCCTGTATGATTTATTTAAAATTATTAGAAGTATGAATTTTATTATGCAACTTTCTTTTCTGTAAATATTTTCTCCGGTAGATACTTCAGAACTCCATTTTCAACTGTGGAACTAAAAATACAGTTTATTTTATTTTTTATACGGTTTTTTATACTTAAAGTTTATTTTCAAGATTAATTTGCATTTTTTATCTGTAAATGGTTATTCTGATCATCGACTCGAGAACGAAAGACATATTTATAAGTTTTATTAATTGTTTCTCCAGGTCTTTCATAGGTATATGTAAAATTTTAAGTATGTTTTAAGAAAAATAAGAAATATTAAGAAGAAAGAGAAAAAAAGCTGGTAAATTTTTTTTTCTAATTGTTCAATTCAAACTCTTGCTTTTTTCTTTTTTAGGAAAATTATAGTTATGTGTATAATAATAATAAATATCATTTGTGACAAAAGTAAATTAATACATAATTATTCATTTAAATTATGCTGCATATAATTTATTTAAAATTTCATGTTATGAAAATATTAGTAATTTCATTTTATAAAGACATAAATGTTTTGAAATGCGTCATTAATTACTCAAGCAATTTGATTTTTACTCATGCGATTTTCAGGATTTTTTAGCTGGGCTCACAATTATTTCTGTGTATTGCGTGAAAAAAAATTAGGAGAATGATTGTTAATTTTTGAATAAAATCTACTTTATTTTATGATTGGGTTTTGGTTTTATATTAATAACGTTTCTGCAAGTCATGTTATCTGTTCTAAGAATATCCTTAATTTATTATTATCATTGTGTTTGCTATAAAAACAAAATTCAAACTATTTCTTTCTTTCTAGTTTTCAATTGATTCTGCTTCTGGATGCACTTCCTTTATTGGAAGCTCCAGTTTCAATATTCTCTCAGAAAGATACCTATCGCCTCATGGAATGTTTAGAAGAATCTAAGAAAAATTCAGTAAGTTTAACCTTTATGTAAAAAGTTGAGTCTTAGTCTTAAAGTTACCCAATTTTGCATTCTAATGACTTTTCCCCCCCTTTAAATAAAGTGATTACAAAATAAATTCTTGCATTTCAACAACTAACAAACCCCAAGTTTATGAAAAATAAATATTACACTTTTTTATATCTATTAACTTGTCTCCAAAGGTAAAAAAGAAAATAATTATTTTATTAATTATCTGAATACCTGTTCTTGTTAAGAGATAATAAATGAAAAGAAAATTAATTAATCTGTATTAATCAACATTGTGAAATTAATCACAAAACTAATAAAAAATATTTAGTAACATCAACCTAAATTTTGATGGTGTGTTTGAATCCAACTATATAATTAATGATAATAAAAAACAATGTTTCATTCCAATCTGTAAATAAGTTTACCACAAAAGCAAGACACCACTAGTGATCAACATAGACAGGTTTCATTTTTTTTTTTATCGCCAAATAGAGTTTATCAGCTATTTTAATTCTGACTATCCTCCTACTATTTGATGTGTTTAAATGTAATTTGGAGCTTTGTTCTTGATAAGAGTACAAGTTTCAATTATTGTCTGACCCCCTACAATCAGTATTTTGTGCCAAAGGGTCAATCAAAATATTTTCTACTTTCCGACTTGTCAGATTGTCTAATTTTTTACCAAAGTTCTAGGTTGAATTGCAATATAAATTGCAATCTTTTTCTGACCCTTAATTGCAGAATTTACTTTTTTTGTGTGAATTTTTGACCACTAGAATGAATTAGAATGTTGAAAAATTTAAACTGGATTGTGTTTCATCCATTATACCAGTTGCAGTTAATTGTTGGAAAGCATCTCTAGCAACAATTTTACTTTGATCCCAGTTCAATTCAAAATTGGCTCAGTATAGGTCCTACATGAACATTGCACCCAGGGACCCATATTGGGATGTCTAGATTTTTCAATATTGTTCCTATATCACGCCAATATCGACCTATATACTATATAGGGCTGATGCTGGTTGTTAAGTTGCTGTAAAATATAAGGTAAATCAGACAATTCTATCAGGGTGCGTAGCGTTTTTAAAAAGTGCTTAAAGGTGCTTATTTTTTATTTACGTTTCTTAAAAGCCCTTAAAGGTATTTTTTTTTTTATTCAGGGTTTATAAAAAGTGCTTAATTTTCTACCTTTTAAAAAGAGATTTTTTATTTGCCGCGTCAATTGTCGTTCTAAATTACAAAAAATGCATGATTTTCTCTGAATATTTATCAGGAACTAGTTATTTTATTATGATTAATTAATGTTTTAGAAAATGTTTTGGAATTTTATTGATTTCATGTTTATAAATTGAGAAATTTTAACAATAGAAAAAAATAATTTTTATTACTGTACAGATCCTAATTATGATTTTTTTTTTTTTGGAAAGTGATTAAAAATATTTTTTGAGTGCTTAAAAAGTACTTAAAACAGGGCTGATTGTGCTCCGGAAAAAATCCGGATTTCCGGAATTTTTGCTAACAGTGATCCGGAAGTTTCCGGAGATNCAAACACCCTAAAAAAATTTGAGAATACAAACATTAAAATCTTTTAATAATATTGAAAACTCATTGGATTGCATTTTTTCAAGGGAAACAATTTATTAATAACCACTTATAAAACACTTGTTATTCTTCAAATTTCTTTTTCAATACCTTCAATCTTAAAGATAAAACATCATTATTTTTTATTTTAAAAATCATACGTAGGAAACTGATTTGATGAGCTTTTATATAACTGAGCATCATTACAAGGATGCCATATAACGATACTAAACAAAGACTTCTAAAGATTCAAATTATTTAACAAGGAATCTTACCTTGTTTCAGTTCCAAGCTGTCTTCACCCAGTATTCTCTTCCGGTTCTTTGGTTGTAGATAACTAAATTAACACTTATGCTGAAAAATACTTTGCACAAAGATGTTTAAGAATTGTATTTAATAATTAATCATAATGAAAAAGAGGGAAAGCTATTTACAGATGAAAAGAGTTGTAGGTTGTTCACCACAAATTCTAAGATACACTATGCTGGTGGAGAAAAAGTTCGTAATTGAATGTTTCTGTATTTGTCCACTAGGGGGGGGGATCGAAACATTCTCAACAGTCGTTACTACTTTTGGTAGCTACTAAATTTCAGTAGAATTTCTGAATGATAAACAGAAGAATCCTCTAGTTTTAAAAATGATCTAAACAGGCATTATTAACATCATAAAACTAGCATTTGTGATTGTACTTGTAAAGGAAGACAATGCATATGGGAAAAGGAAAGATGTAGGAGTGATGTTAATTCCTAAGTTAAACTGTATTTACTACCATTTATTTATTTACTATTATTTATTGCTACGTAATCATTCACGCGGACTTCATGTCGTACCCACGTTATGACTTGCGCATGCACGCACACTTGAAACCGAGTGCTCCAATTCGGATGGAGAATCCTTATGAAATGTTTTTCTTTTTAATTTATTTTAATTTTATTATTGTTTATTTTATTTTACTTCTAACACTTTTTTGACGTAGGGGGTACGGGTACTTTTGTTCTGAGTTCAAGGTCAAGTTGAATTCAGTCGATGATGTGGGAAAGTACTGATTGTTTCGATTTACACCTGTTTCTTTTTGGGTTTTTTTTAACGCTAAAACTGTTTATAAAAAGTTTTTTGTTTTTCAATGATATCACTGATTGAATATGAATTTTTTGAGCGCTTGAAAATTTTTTTAAAGTGCTTGAAAAGTTTTTAAAAAGTGCTTATTTTTGTTTCAAAGATTTGGCTACGCACCCTGTGTGATTTTAATTTGGAATGTCTTATTTCAATTTTTGAACAACTTTAGATGGTGGTTAGTGCCTGTTATATTTTCGAATAATGTCTTACTGAGGATGGACCTTTAACATGAGCTGTCTGTTTTGAGAATCATTATTTTTTATTAGATTCAGAGTATTTAAACGTGTAAACTGTTTATATATTATACAGTCATATATTATACAGTTATATATTATACAGTTATATATTATACAGTTATATATTATACAGTCATATATTATACATTATACAGTCAAACCCCGCTGTAGTGAACGAAATGTTCGGTCCCGTGCCTTGCTATACACGTATAATGTTATTTTTTATGGATATAGTGAACCAAAAATGTGAGGAAGTTGGATATAATGAATTTTTTTCTGTCTTTGACTGATTTTTTTCGTCATTTTTTTGTAATAATTTTGAAATTTCTACTTCAAAATAAATACATACACCGATTTTTAAAACCATCTATAGAGGGGAATGTAGCGATAAGCATTTTTTCTTGTTTGCTTATTTTGTCTCACTTTCCCATCCCTAAACAAACCAAGCAAATGTTTCCAACCCAGGCAGATGATGGTGCAACTGTAAGATGTCAGGGGGATCAATATGCATTTTTTGTCATAGGGAATGAGTCATTATTGGTCAAATGGTTGAACACTAATATGTGTTGATAAGGCCCTCATTTCAACTCCTTTTTGCTCTCAGTTCAGTTTAAAAAAGCCTGCAAACAAGTGTCTCAAATTTAACTATGGCGAGCAATAATCGTAAAACGTTCTTCATTGATGATAAAATGGGCATAATCAGAAAAATTGAAGATGGATGCAATCAAGCTAATATTTGCAGAGAATATAAACTATCCAAATCTGTAGTTTGTAACAGATGAAAAAATTGGCTGTTAATAATTTCTGCTCATGAAAAAGATGCCAAAAAAAGTTGAGAAAAGCAGATCACAAGGATGTTGAAGAAACATTACTGAAGTGGTTCAGCTTTAGAAGAAGCCGCAGTATCTTAACAAATGTCAGTTAATTTGTTAAGCGATTTTATGATACTACTTTTATGTCCTAAAATATGTTAGGTTAGACAGGTTTAAAAAGCGGAATAACAGAAATTCAGGAAGAATTATCGGGAAGTGTTTCCATATCTTATGTTGAGGTTTGCTCATCAGCTAAAGATTACTAATTTTTTTTTGTACACAAGAAGAAGAGAAATTAAAAAATAACATATTTTTTACTACTACATAATATTTTTCAGTCATTTATTTGAATAATGTGTAATAAAAGGGAGGATTTAAGGAACCATTAATTAAATTGCCTGCGTAACGGATATAGTGAACTCCCGGTTATAGTGAACCGAATGTCGGTCCCTTGAAGGTTCACTATAGTGGGGTTTGACTGTATATACATATATATATGGGTGTAGACTTGTCATCTGAAGTTTGCTAGATAGTATTTTGTATGTTTTGGTTAGTTTTGCAAAGTTTTTTGTCCTAAACATTTTATTATTGTATATTACGGTACTATCAATAATAATGAATTGAAAATTTTAGCAAATTTAATTACAATAATAGTTTTATTTGAACTTTTAAATGAAATCAAACTTGGCTTACTAAGAAATTTTTTCATCTGGACTTTGCTGGATAGTATTTTGTATTTGGGATTTTTGTGATTTTCCTAAACATTTTAGTTTTATATTTAGGTACTATCAATTATAATAAATTGAATAATTTAGCAATTTTAATTGCAGTAATGATTTTATTTCAATTTTTAAATGAAATTAGACTTGACTTTACAAGAAAAATTGCTCGGTCTTTTTTTATTGGAAGTATGTGGGTCTGTGAAAGCGCTTCATTCTCGTTTCATCAGATCTGAACCCATTAAAATAAATTTATTGAAGTATTTAAAATTTTTTTTTTTAATGATTACTCAAATAATTTTGCTTTGAATTGCAGATTAAGGATCCGAGTGAACAAGAAAACATAATTAGACTAGCATTGATTAGAAACTTAGCTCGTTGCTTCCTGGTAGAGACTGTTGATTCTGAATCAGAAGAAGAATTTTAACAACAGCTTTTTTTTTCTTCTTACTTTGTAAATTTTATATGTTTTTATACTTTTGTATTAAATTATTTATGGAGAATTTTTGTAGTCTGTTACTTGAAAACTTGGATCGCTCTAAAAAAAAAAAAGAACACTCACTCCTTGTAACAATTTCACAACCCCCTTCCCCACCATGTGTTATATCATTTGGGGATGGCTTCTGTCCTGACGAATTACCTTCAACAAGAATCAATTTGTAAAATTTTGCTTTATGCTTTGTATTTGAGTTTTATTTTCTGGGTATCCGCGCACCTGGAAAGTCATGAAAAATCATGGAAAGTCATGAATTTGTGTATTTAACAAAATTTGTCATGATTTTAACTTTTTTTAAAAGAAATCATGGAAAGTCATGGATTTAGGTCGCTGAAAAATTTTATTTTTAAAATGGAATTCCCCACTCAGCGTCATATTTTATAAAAATATGAAAAGTTTTTATGTTATGGTGTTCTTTCAAAAAATGAAAGAAAAAACATCATTTCTACAGCAGAGTATCTGTTAAACTTCTGTGATTTCAGTTGTGTATTATTATTTTTATTTTATGAATTTAAAATTCTAGCTGAAGCAACCCAGTCATTGGCAAATTTTTTTTATTCCGAAATGAGAACAGAAAAATCAGGAATATTTCTTTCCTTTCTGATGAACAAGAAAAGTATCTTTAGAATATAATTCAGAAAAAAAGAAAAACGAAGTTATTTACTCAGCTATTTTTTTTTAGCTATTTTATTGCTTAACTCTTTCTTTACTCTGTTTTTTAAATTTAAAATCAATAAATATCAAGATGCAGAGTATATCTGTTTTGGTTATACCTATCATTTTAATTAATGTTATTATAATGCTTTTTAAATATATTATTCTGTTTTTGTCGGAGAAAGTAGTAACTTCGTTAAGTCATGAATTTGAAAATCTAAAATGTAGCAGATACCCTGTATTTTGTACCCTGTATTTTGTAACAAGGGTTGAACGGCCGATTTGATTCTGAGTTTAGGACTACCAATGTTCAACTCTGTAGCCTTGTAAGTTTGAACCCGATCCGGAAGATAAGGGATATCCTTGATTAAGAATTGGGATAAATTTGCCTTGGAGGAGAATTTTTTGTTAGAACAAAACCACATTTACACTACAGGAGAAGAAAACCTTTTACGGTTAGCAAGACACTAAAGGAACTCCAACAACATCAGCATCTTTTACATCAGCAGTTTTTACGCATAACAGTTTTTACAGTNACTAGCATTGATTAGAAACTTAGCTCGTTGCTTCCTGGTAGAGACTGTTGATTCTGAATCAGAAGAAGAATTTTAACAACAGCTTTTTTTTTCTTCTTACTTTGTAAATTTTATATGTTTTTATACTTTTGTATTAAATTATTTATGGAGAATTTTTGTAGTCTGTTACTTGAAAACTTGGATCGCTCTAAAAAAAAAAAAGAACACTCACTCCTTGTAACAATTTCACAACCCCCTTCCCCACCATGTGTTATATCATTTGGGGATGGCTTCTGTCCTGACGAATTACCTTCAACAAGAATCAATTTGTAAAATTTTGCTTTATGCTTTGTATTTGAATTTTATTTTCAGGGTATCCGCGCACCTGGAAAGTCATGAAAAATCATGGAAAGTCATGAATTTGTGTATTTAACAAAATTTGTCATGATTTTAACTTTTTTTAAAAGAAATCATGGAAAGTCATGGATTTATGTCGCCGAAAAATTTTATTTTTAAAATGGAATTCCCCACTCAGCGTCATATTTTATAAAATTATGAAAAGTTTTTATATTATGGTGTTCTTTCAAAAAATGAAAGAAAAAACATCATTTCTACAGCAGAGTATCTGTTAAACTTCTGTGATTTCAGATGTATTATTATTTTTATTTTTTTATTTTATGAATTTAAAATTCTTGCTGAAGCAACCCAGTCATTGGCAAATTTTTTTTATTCCAAAATGAGAACAGAAAAATCAGGAGTATTTCTTTCTTTTCTGATGAACAAGAAAAGTATCTTTAGAATGTAATTCAGAAAAAAAGAAAAACAAAGTTATTTACTCAGCTATTTTTTTTATAGCTATTTTATTGCTTAACTCTTTCTTTACTCTGTTTTTTAAATTTAAAATCAATAAATATGAAGATGCAGAGTATATCAGTTTTGGTTATACCTATCATTTTAATTAATGTTATTATAATGCTTTTCAAATATATTATTCTGTTTTTGTCGGAGAAAGTAGTAACTTCGTTTAGTCATGAATTTGAAAATCTAAAATGTAGCAGATACCCTGTATTTTGTAACTAAGTTTGAACAGCCGATTTGATTCTGAGTTTAGGACAACCAATATTCAACTCTGTGGCCTTGTAAGTTTGAACCTGATCCGGAAGATAAGGGATATCCTTGATTAAGTATTGGGATAAATTTGCCTTGGAGGAGAATTTTTTGTTAGAACAAACCCACATTTACATTACAGGAGAAGAAAACCTTTTACGGTTAGCAAGACACTAAAGGGACTCTAACAACATTAGCATCTTTTACATCAGCAGTTTTTACGCATAACAGTTTTTACAGTGTAAACCCTTTGATAAAAAGCTGCAGCATAATTTGCTCTTGAGGTAAAAAATTTCCAAAAATGTCTGTTTAATAAAGTTTTTACTTTGATATAATTAAATAGTATAATATGTATAATTTAATGAAAAAGCGAGGATTTTGAAAATTTTATTTCACAAAATTGCATATCGGTAAGTTTNTTATTCACTTTACTTTTTGGGATTTTATGAACTGAGAAATGACAGTTTTCGTGAGAATGACCCATATAATTAAATAGTATAATATGTATAATTTAATGAAAAAGCGAGGATTTTGAAAATTTTATTTCACAAAATTGCATATCGGTAAGTTTATTTCTAATGGATAATTCATTTCTAAACGTGTCTCTCTACAAAATGTTGCCACACGATGTTTATTTACATCTGCTTTGTAATGTTTTTTTCTTCTTTTTATAAAAAAAAGATAGTCAAATACAGTTTTACTTTGATGGGATGGAATAGTTTCTGCAGCGACCTTGTCCCTGTATCTAGGCCCCCAAGTATAGGGATTGATTATACCCAACAATCGACCGACATCCGTCAATCTCTGCATGAGACTTTCATTCAAAGCTACAAGGGCAGCAACAGTATTCTCAGAGCCGTGCTTGAGTTGAAACCACATGATTCAAAAAGAGGACTATCGTAAAGTAGACAAGGTTCATGCAAAGATCAAAGCAGCCTTGAGTAAAAGCACAGAGTCAAGAGCATATATATATATATAAACAGTCGGATGAAACGGGATGTTTTGTTTCTTAAGTGTTGAATAAGGATAAACAAATCTTGGTGCATTACACTTTACTAAAAAATAGAGAAACCTCACAAGAAGTCTCCCCATTTTTGCTTCATCTAAGAACTGCAATACATGAAACAATACATATATACAATATATTTATGCAGTTTTAATGTGGAACACTAATGGAATATGTGACACCTCACAATAACTACCCATCACAACTTTAAAGCGGTGGCACTGCTTGGAACAAAACACACATTCCTAAAGGCTTTTTAACAACCAGTTTTAATTATCACTTTTAAATGTTTCATAGTGTCCAGTTTTGCGACCATAGATTTCCATGTGTTGTGGGTGTCCGGTGTCCTCATCTACAGTCCCACTTTTGAATAAATGTCACCTCCAAACAAGTACTGAGGATCCACTTTACCATCCCACGAGATGGTTTTGACACCACTCGTTAAACTAAATACACTTCCTGGATACACAATGCATCCAAACACTTTTCATGCATATTTTACCTGTCGTCCAAAAGAACAGTTAGAAAAAAAAATGGTTTTGGTCAGGAAACACTGGTTTGTGGAAACAGTTTGCTTTTCAGGTGCATTGGTGACAGGGGGATCTTTTTCCACAGTCAAATTTAAACGATGTCGGGAAACAGTTTGTGAAGCACCAATGACACGGGGATTGTTTTTCACAGTCTCTTTCAAATTCAAACGATGCCGTGCATCTTTTGCAGAGACCATATGCACACGAGTCCAGTGATCGTGTTGGTACATCTGTCACAATGATAGACTTAATACTATTTCTAACTCGCAACAATGGTTTGTCCCCAGGCGACGCAGTAGGTGATATGGTGCAAACAATGGTTTATCCAATAGATGATATGGGATGAAAAAGTGGCTTAACCAGGGGCTCCAACGGTGGTGCTGGAACTGGGAGGTCAAATCATATTATCAGGATTTTTCATCTCTGGTCCCACAGGAGTCGGAAGTGGTAGATAGATCCAATTCAAACTCGAGAACAACTTCATCCATCACGAACTGCCGCTAGAAAGAAGACTGCCGTTTGCAAACGATGTGTTGATTCGACGTGTAAGCATGTGAAACGATGTGAACAAAGTGTTGATTTCAAAAGGTATGCACAGTGGTTGCCAAAATCATAGTCTATAGATGTCTTCAACTTTCTGGAACTAAACTTATATAAGCAAAAAAAAAGAAGAAATTATTTTAATTTTTTATAATCATGCTTGGGGTTTGCGTTGAGTTGTGTTTTATCATGTTTTGGGCTTGTGTTAAACTGTGTTTGCTGGAATTGTGTTGTATCATGTTTGGGGTTTTGCAGAATTGTGTTTCTTGGGGCATGTGTTGCATCCTATTCGGGACTTTTGTTGCATCATGTTTAAGTTTTGTGTTGTATTATTTTTGAGTAGAGTTGTGTTTGTGAAGGCTAGTTTTAAAGCTTGTTTGTGAGGGCTTGCATGGTATTGTGCTTCTTCGAGATTGTATTGTGTTAGAAAATTGTGTTGTATAATGTTCGGGACAAGAGATGTGCTAAATATTGTTTGTTGAAGCTTGTGCTGTTTTGATTTGAGGCCTGTGTTGCGTTTGGAGTTAGCATTACGTTTAGAGTTTGCATTGTATGTGTTTAGGGCTTGTGTTAAAGTTAAGAGTTTCTGTTCTATTTATTGCAGAATTGTATTTTTTTTTAACTAAATACAATTCATATCAAGTTGAATACAGCTCGGAAACACTTACGCGGTACAAACACCATCAAAATTCTAAACACTTTACCCATACCGAAAGTTTCCCCTTTACCTCGATCCCGATTCAGTACACCTTTCTGGAACACAAATTGTGACGTAGAGAAAAATTAAAAAGGATGGGTAGGAAAGAGGACAAGCTCAAATTAAAGAAAAAAAAGCTGTTATCATGTCTCCATACTAGAGTCTCTCTTTTTCTGAAGTAAGCAACCAAAATGGGGAGTAAAATATAATTCTTACCTGGTCACAGTCTTCGTCATATTAACACATATCCAAGCATAAAAGCTCTAGGAGTCAGTTACCGAGGTATCTTCAGTAACCATAAAAGAACGTTGGATGTGTTGCAATATCCTGTAAAGGACTATCACGTTGGACTGCTTCACTTGGAACCAGTCTCACACTCGGCTGCTATGGACCCGTAAAGGAACCCACAAGTGGAGTCAATGGTACCAGTCTTATATCTAAAATTTATTTATTTGCTTGTTTGCAAATGCTGGCACTGAACTCACACCCTGCTGTTATGGACCCGTAAAGAAATCTACAAGTTGAGCCAGTAGTACCAGACTTTTATTTTAAATTTAATTATTTGTTTCTATATGTTATATTAGCCCTGTTGTCAAAGAAACGTTTTTCGACTTACTCAAGAGGTAGGTGTAACAGAGAAAAGAAGCACCGAAAATTTCTTTTTCACCTCGATCCCGATTCAGCACTCCTTTCTGGAACCTTTTTAAGAGTTCCTTCAGGCCTTCCGATTGGCAGCATAAAACTGCATGTTCACGATCCAGGTTACTAAGGCACAATCGGAGAACCTACTTTAAGACACTGAAAGCATAAGAAAAGCTTCGATAGGAAAGAGGAGAAACGCAAAAGCTATATCTCTCTTTGAATCAGCTTATTATCCCTGTTGCCAATGAAATGTTTTTCGGCTTTCCCAAGTTTCAGAAAAAAGAAGCACCGAAAGTTTCCCTTTCACCTCGACCCCGATTCAGCACTCCTTTCTGGGACACAAATTGTGACATAGAAAAAAATTAAAAAGGATGGGTAGGAAAGAGGACAAGCTCAAATTAAAAAAAAGCTGTTATCATGTCTCCTTACTTAAGGGTCTCTCTTTCTGAAGTAAGCAACCAAAATGGGGAGTAAAATATTATTCTTACCTTTTCGCAGTCTTCGTCATATTAACACATATCGAAGCATAAAGCTGTAAAGCTCCAGGAGTCAGTTTCCGAGATATCTTCAGTCACCATAAAAGAACGGTGGATGTGTTGCAATATTCTGTAAAGTACTACCACGTTGAACTGCTTCACTTGGTACCAGTCTCACACTCTGCTGCTATGGACCCGTAAAGGAATCTACAAGTGGAGCCAATGGTACCAGACTTTTATTTAAAATTTATTTATTTGCTAGCTTCTAAATGCTGGCATTGGACTCACACCCTGCTACTATGAACCCGTAAAGGAATCCACTAATGGAGCCAATGGTATCAGACATTTATTTAAAACTAGCCGCTTAAGGCGGTCAGCTGTCCGCCACGCTAAAGGTTTTCACAAATAAAGTTTTTTAAAACATAGCAGGAAATCTGAAGATTAGTGGACAATTAAAGTGTTCCTGTCCTGCAATTTTGTCTTCATATCCAGTTCTGCTGCAGATGTGTTATAGCTCTTGAGGATGTTTGAATTTTAAAATGTAACTTTGCTATGGTAACCTAACCTATAATATAACTATCAGGTTGAGACTTGTTTTTTTTTTTTTTTTTTGAAAAAAAAGGCCTCAGAAATTGTAAAAGCATTCAAAAGTTGCTTTCGAAATCATCATTGGCCAGTAGCTGAAAATTAAAACTCAGTTGATAACATATTTAAGAAACAGCAATAAAATAAAACTTGCGTCAGTCAGCATACAGATAGTATATAATTCTTCCTATTCTTGTAAAACTTCTTTATAAACAATATTTTTAGTTTTTCCATTTGGTGCCAATAAATATAAGTTCTTTTCATCACCAACTCTTGAGCAGTCAACACAAAGCTGTCCATGTGAAAAGCAAGGCTTCTGCAAGTCAAGACCAACGACTTTTAAAGATTGTCCCTGAGATTTATTTGTACTCATCGCAAAACTAAGTCGAACAGGAAACTGAAGTCGTTTAAACTGAAACGGATTGTCTGAAGATATGATGGGGTGCGAGGAATAAGCCCACTATTTCCTGTAGAATGTCCTGTTATAATCATAGCTTCAATAACATTAGGCATCAATTTTTTCACAATCAATCTTGTTCCATTATACAATGCAGGTGGATCAAAATTTCTTAAAAGCATAATTGGTGCTCCAATTTTCAATTCTAATTTATGTGCCGGCACTCCAGGTCGTTCCAATGAGTTCAAAAATTCTGTTGGATAGTTGACAACTTGATCTATTTCCATGACAGCGTCGATAGACTTGTAAATTTCCAGAGCACCAGGTAATTTCTTTAAAAGTTTGTTATTTATCACGTTAACAATATCATTTGTTGGAGAAAGGATAGCTCTTTCACATAGCCATTGAGGGTTGCAGTAATTTTCATGAATATTTGGAAAAACCATTTCTTTGAGTTCGTCGGTTGTGGCAGCACGATTTCCAATATTTTCCACAGCTTTAAGCCCTTCTTCATCGCCACTAATATCATCATTTCCAAGTCTTAGAAGATTGTTGGCAAATTCCTGTGCAAAGACTTGTCCTGTTAAATGAACTCGCATATTTGTTTTCAGCCGCAGTCTTTGAACATTTGCCCAAATGTAAGATGACTTTATACATGCATGTATTTCATCTGTCTTTGTCCCACGTTGTATTACAGGAAGTGTTTGTCGAAAATCACCAGATAAAACTAAAGTTACACCTCCCATACACTTGTTGTTTTTTAAAAGGTCTTGCATAGTGATATCCAGGGCTTCTAAAGCAGCTTTATGTGACATAGTGCACTCATCCCAAACTATTAGTTTACATCTTCTAAGAACATCAGCTTTGTGTTAGCTACTGGAAATATTGCAGGTAGGATGCTCGACGGTTGATAAATTTAAAGGAAATTTAAACACTGAATGAGCTGTTCGTCCACCAGACAAAAGAGTTGCAGCAATACCAGAGGATGCAACAGAAAGTGCAATCTTATTTCTTTGTCTCACTCTTGCTAAAATCAGATTTATGAGATAAGTTTTTCCTGTTCCAACAGGTGCATCCACAAAAAATATTCCACCGACGTCATTAAACACAGCAAATAAGATTTCCTCCAAAGCTTCCTTCTGGTCTTGAACCAGATTTGGCTCATTCGAATCAATGTATGATGTCATTTCATCTGTATTGTAATTTGTTGCCCTCAAAATTTCTCTGTTTAAGTCAATGGTATCTGTTTGTTGTGGCAAAGGAAGTCCATAAGTTTTTAAACCAGAACCACCCAATTCTTTTACCTTGTTTTCAAGAAGAATTAATGCCTGATTGAAGATGGCATAATCATAATTTAAATCCATGTCAGTACTTCTAATCCTGGCTTGGTGCAAAACATCTTAAATTCCACAATTCCAGAGGGTTTGCAATAGAACATGTTTGCAACATAATTGCAAACAAATAACGCAGCATTTCAGGTGATCGAACAACAGCAGCTTCTTCTAACGTGCTTTTCCAATGCGAGTCATCTTCAAGAAGTCCTCTTTCCTGGCAAGCCTGCTTAAATGTTTCGCATTTTATTTCTCCAAAAGTCTTTAAGTCATTGAAAGATGTAGGTCCGTGCACCTCATGAAGCAGCAGTCGAAGATGAAAACATTCGGAATTGTTAGGATGAATAGTGTAGATGCGACCAAGTACATCACTTGATTTAATTCCTGGCTCTTCAGATACTATCTGACCAGATTTCCGCCGAACCCACTTTTTGCTGCTTGCAGACCATGTATAGTACTTCGGCAACTGATTATACAACAAAGTGCGAGCAAAATCATCGTTTTGGCATAAGTTAAAAAAAGAAGTAAGTGTTGTGACTGGTGCAACTTGAGCTCTTTCCCGTGAATTTTCTGATGTGAAGTAAACTCGCTGGCCATTCTCTAAGTGTACACTTAAATGAACAACTGTTGGATGCCTTTCATGTATAGGGAAATCCAAAATACACCACACTGCCTCATTGCTACTGATTTATCGTCCTATTTCATTATGCTGTACATCTTCATCATGCACACTTTCGTCGTTGGCACTGTTAAACACAGCCATATCAGATCCTTTGTTTACATATTTGCAAACATATTTCATAGATTTTATCGATTTACAAAATTCCACAATAATATGGGCATTAAAAGTTTTTGACAACAATGGACAAAAAGGAACTACCCATCTATTATCAATAACAATATCAGAACTCCGTACTTTTTTAACTGCCGTATAACCACCATCCTCTGGACTTTGTGTTTCTTTCAAAAAATTTCGAGCGTACCTCTTTGTACATTTTCCTTCGTATATAATTGGTTTAAGTTGTCGAAAATTAATATTTCAATTGTAAGATTCGCATTAGCATACATTTATAAGAGTGGAGAAAAGTATATGCATCTTTTAATAGTTTTTTGAATATGGCTCTTTGAAGACGAAAAAGCAAAGATTTTCTTACAAAATGACTGATAACTAAAAAACTAATCCAAATTTTTGAAAAAGAAAAAAAATACTTCTTCATTATGTCAAAACACAATTATGTGCCGAGTTTCGTGCCTGGGCGAGGCATCTGGGGCGATATATTGTGATTACAGACACGCACACACAGCCGCGTTTATTATTATGTATAGATTTATTTATTTGCTTACATCCAAACACATGAACTAGACTCACACCCTGTTACTATGGACGCGTAAAGGAATCCACAAGTCGAGTTAGTGGTACCAGACATTTAATTTAAATTTATTTACTTATTTTTTTCCATCCGTTATATTAGCCCTGTTGCCAACGTTTCGGCGTTCCCAAGAGGCAGGTGTTACAGAGAAAAGATGCACCGAATGTTTCCCTTTCACCTCGATCCCGATTCAGCACTCCTTTCTGGAACCTTTTAGGAGTTCCTTCAGGCCTTCTGATTGGCAGCATAAAACTGCATGTTCACGATCCAGGCTACTAAGGCACAATCGGAGAACCTACTTTAAGACACTGAAAGCATAGGAAAAGCTTCGATAGGAAAGAGGACAAACGCAAAAGCTACATCTTTCTCTGAATCAGCTTATTAGCCCTGTTGCCAATGAAATGTTTTTTGGCGTTCCCAGAGAAAGGTGTTACAGATAAAAGAAGCACCGAAAGTTTCCCTTTCACCTCGATCCCGATTCAGCACTCCTTTCTGGAACCTTTTTAGGAGTTCCTTCAGGCCTTCTGATTGGCAGCATAAAACTGCATGTTCACGATCCAGGTTACTAAGGCACAATCGGAGAACTTACCTAAAAACACTGAAAGCATACGAAAAGCTTCGATAGGAAAGATGACAAATGCAAAAGCTATATCTCTCTCTGAGTCAGCTTAATAGCTCTGTTGCCAACGAAACGTTTTTTGGCGTTCCCAAGAGGCAGGTGTTACAGAGAAAAGAAGCATCGAAAGTTTCCCTTTCACCTCGATCCCGATTCAGCACTCCTTTCTGGAACCTTTTTAGGAGTTCCTTCAGGCCTTCTGATTAGCAGCATAAAACTGCATGTTCACGATCCAGGTTACTAAGGCACAATCGGAGAACTTACCTTAAAACACTGAAAGCATAAGAAAAGCTTCGATAGGAAAGAGGACAAACGCAAAAGCTATATCTCTCTCTTAGCTACATCTCTCTCTCTGAGTCAGCTTATTAGCCCTGTTGCGAATGAAATGTTTTTCGGCTTTCCCAAGAGGCAGGTGTAGCAGAGAAAAGTAGCACCGAAAGTTTCCTTTTTTCCTCGGTCCCGATTCAGTAAACCTTTATGGAACACAAATTGTGGCAGTGAGGAAAAATTCAAAAGGATGGGTAGGAAAGAGGACAAGCTCAAATTAAAAAAAAGCTATTATCATGTCTTCATACTTGAGAGTCTCTCTTTCTGAAGTAAGCAATGAAAATGGGGAGTAAAATATTACTCTTACCTTTTCGCAATCTTCGTCATATTAACACATATCCAAGCCTAAAGCTCCAGGAGTCAATTTCCGAGATATCTTCAGTCACCATAAAAGAACGTTGGATGTGTTGTAATATCCTGTAAAGGACTACCACGCTGGACTGCTTCACTTGGTACCAGTCTCACACTCTGCTGCTATGGACCCGTAAAGGAATCCACAAGTGGAGCCAATCGTACCAGACTTTTATTTTAAATTTATTTAATTGCTTGCCTCTAAATGCTGGCACTGAACTCACACTCTGCTGCTATGGACCCGTAAAGGAATCCACAAGTGGAGCCAATCGTACCAGACTTTTATTTATTTGCTTCTATCTGTTATATGAGCCCTGTTGCCAACGAAACGTTTTTCGGCGTTCCCAAAAGGCATGTGTTACAGAGAAAAGAAGCACCGAAAGTTTCCCTTTCATCTCGCTCCCGATTCAGCACTTCTTTCTGCAACACAAATTGTGACATAGAGAAAAATTAAAGAGGATGGGTAGGAAAGAGGACAAGCTCAAATTAAAGATGAAAAAAAAGCTGTTATTATGTTTCCTTACTTAAGGGTCTCTCTTTCTGAAGTAAGCAATCAAAATGGGGAGTAAAATATTATTCTTACCTTTTGGCAGTCTTCGTCATATTAACACATATCCAAGCATAAAGCTCTAAAGCTCCAGGAGTCAGTTTCCGGGATATCTTCAGTCACCATAAAAGAACGGTGGATGTGCTGCAATATCCTGTAAAGGACAACCACGTTGAACTGCTTCACTTGGTACCAGTCTCACACTCTGCTGCTATGGACCCGTAAAGGACTCTACAAGTGGAGCCAATGGTACCAGACTTTTATTTAAAATTTATTTATTTGCTTGCTACTAAATTCTGGCACTGGACTCACACCCTGCTGTTATGGACCCGTAAAGGAATCCACAAGTTGAGCCAGTGGTACCAGAAGTTTATTTTAAATTTATTTATTTGTTTCTATCTGTTATATTAGCCCTGTTGCCAATGAAAGTTTTTCGACTTTACCAAAAGGCATGTGTTACAAAGAAAAAAAAAGCACCGAAAGTTTCCCTTTCACCTCGATCCCGATTCAGCACTCCTTTCTGGAACCTTTTTAGGAGTTCCTTCAGGCCTTCTGATTGGCAGCATAAAACTGCATGTTCACGATCCAGGTTACTAAGGCACAATCGGAGAACTTACCTTAAGACACTGAAAGCATACGAAAAGCTTCGATAGGAAAGAGGACAAATGCAAAAGCTATATCTCTCTCTGAGTCAGCTTATTAGCCCTGTTGCCAACGAAACGCTTTTCGGCGCTCCCAAGAGGCAGGTGTTACAGAGAAAAGAAGCATCGAAAGTTTCCCTTTCACCTCGATCCCGATTCAGTACTCTTTTCTGGAACCTTTTTAAGAGTTCCTTCAGGCCTTCTGATTGGCAGCATAAAACTGCATGTTCACGATCCAGGCTACTAAGGCACAATCGGAGAACCTACATTAAGACACTGAAAGCATGAGAAAAGCTTCGATAGGAAAGAGGACAAACGCAAAAGCTATATCTCTCTTTGAATCAGCTTATTAGTCCTGTTGCCAACGAAACGTTTTTCGGCGTTTCCAAAAGGCAGGTGTTACAAGGAAAAGAAGCGCCGGAAGTTTCCCTTTTTCCTCGATCCCGATTCAGTACACCTTTCTGGAACACAAATTGTGGCAGTAGAGAAAAATTCAAAAGGATGGGTAGGAAAGAGGACAAGCTCAAATTAAAAAAAAGAAGCTATTATCATGTATCCATACTTGAGAGTCTCTATGTCTGAAGTAAGCATCGAAAATGGGGAGTAAAATATTACTCTTACCTTTTCGCAGT